TAGATGTGTGAATGAAAGCACGACTCTCTTGGGCAGTTATTTCATTCCCAGTTCCTTGTGGGAGTTGAACCTGACAGGATGTTCTTCGAAGTCAACAGGGGCCACGTCATCACTGTGACTCGTGCTTTTGAAATATGCCGGTGTTGGTGGGACTGAGTCGATCTTAATCGAATAGGTTCGAATTCGATTTGATTTAGAGTGTGGGTTAATGTATTCCTCGACATCATAATGGGGTCTCGTTTTAGAGTCTGGGTTAATGAGACAGTTAATGGGGGTTCTCGTTTTGCAGGAGAGACGTTAGGGCTTAGGTCCAAAGTGTGCCGTGGCATTAAATGTCAATGATGTCATCGCAGCCTTGAGATTTCAAAAAGAGACTGGCTATTTATTTGCTGCTAGTTTCGTCACGCCTGCCTGGTATCCATCTCTAAGTAATTGTCAAGCTGCAAACGATAATTGCTCCAGAAAATCCTTCTGCCAAACAATGAATCGACTCTGCGAGCCATTCTGTGCAGTTTTCGGGTGCTTTTGGCAGAAAAAAAGTCATCTGCCAGAGACAAACACCCTCCCGGCAGAAAAAAAACACCTCCCCGCAGAAAAAAACACCTCCCGGCAGAAAAAGCCATGCCGGCTTTCGGAACTGCAGAGTTCGAGGGCTTCTGCAGAGTGCACGCCAGCCTGCTTCAGGAAAAAAAGTGTTTCTGCGGACTCAAAAAGGGCGTTTCTGCAGAGTTTTTCATTCCCAGTGAGTGGAGGAACAGCGGGCTTATCGACTTGCCCAATCCAGGAAAACCAACAGGAAGAAGCGTCGACAAGAGAAGAATTATGCAAAGATCAAGGCATATTTCGAGAAGTTAGCATCAGATCGCGCAAAGGGAAAACAATATCAGAGGGCCATTGCCATGTCTTCGGCAGATGGAAAAGCTGTAAAAGAGAAAGTGCAGTGTGGATTTTGTGGATTATTCGGTCACAAGACCACAAGAGCGAAGGCTTGCCTTCGCAATCCAAAGCGACTGGCCGTGCAGGCTACAGTTGGGCCTAAACAAGCAGCAGTTGGGGATCAACAATCAACCGGGATGGAACATTCCCACATTACTGTCGATGAAGATGAACATGAGAGCGAGCAGCTCGATCAGGATGCAAAGTTCGGTCTAGAAGTTTCTCTGTTAGATAGCTTGCCGATTGAAGAAAGCGATTCAGAAGAGATGGACGGTTTGACAGAAGACTTAGATCTTTGCGAGGCAGAAGCTGATGAATGAATAAGAGAAATTTGATAAGACATTACTAACAATTCTTATCGAGCTTATTACTTCTCTCCAACTCGCAGAGACACATTCATAGATCGCTAACAAACAAGAAGTCCGCACGCCTCCTTGCTACTAGATCTCAACTGCCACTCGCACATGATAGATCGCACGTGATCGCTAATACCCTTCGCTACTATCGCTATCCGATGCCGACTCATTTTCCTTTCCAGTCGATGCAACTGCTGCTTTGTTCTTCTTCTTCGATTCAACCATGGTGATCTTGTTTCCTTTTTTGCCGGTAATGCGCTCAGCGGCCCTCTTCTTACTGCTCTTGAAGCCAGTGAACTTACCATCAGCGGGGAAGCAAGCCTTCTTGATGTACTTCTCCACGCACCACGAAAGCGGCTGACAGTTGCCCTCAGAGTTTCGGAAGAAGTTGGAGTGATAATGCTTGTACAAGCACCAGCGCTGTGTAGCATCCTTCACTTCATCCCACTCCATGTTCCCATCAAGCTTGTGGGGAGCCTCGCAGAAAGGTGAGAAGGTTTCGATGATCTGGTCTTTGTCAACCGATTCGTGCGGGTACTGTTTGGCAATGCACTCGGTGTAGATGAACTTCTTCTTACACTGGCATTCATCTTCCTCTTCCTCTGAATCTTCCCAGACATTCGCGATGGGCTTCTTTTTCTTGACGGCAAATTTCTTCACCCAATCGAATTTCGTTTTGAAGTCCTGAATCCAATCGCCCCTGGCAAAAGATTCTTCGTCAACTTGAACAAAGACAGTGCGGCCATCTGACATGTCCTTTCTGGAAACCATGAACAAAAGACAGGCCTGGTGGCTGTTCTTATCGGCGGTCTTGCGAAGGATGAAACAGATCTTCCTCTCCTTCTGCTTGAACTCATGGACTTCGGAAAACACCTGACTGATTGGGCGAAGCTGGTCCCTGGCCGACACATACGGCATGTCTACTTGAGGTGGATAGATCCAGCCGAAGTCTTTGATTAGCATTATCATCCTGTTAGCACAAAATCCCGCGAAGTTGTCAGTCATCCGAACAATCCTGAAATCAGGCACGATGATCGTGGAACCAGGAACAAGTTTTATTGCCCTTGCTTCCACAAAGGAGGAGAGACAGGTGTCAGTCACATCCTTGATCATGGTGTTCGAACCATCCATGAGTTGCATCACCAACACGGTGAAGTGCATCCCATTCCAACCATCCTTTGGGTAGCTGCGAGTCTCTCTTTTACAGGTAAGAATGGTGAACCGTGGACGATTGTGATTGCCGCACAACACATCAAGGGAACCATTCTTGTGCATGAACTTTGTTGTTACTTTGTCCTCTCCATACAGGAACAAGTCAGTTAGGAAATCAGGTGATGCATTATCGTAACTGTCAGAATAAAGGTCCAACATCTTGGTCTTTGCCGTTTCCTACAAGGGATTTGGTCAAGAAATAGGCATCTCATTTCCCGGATTCCTTTTCGAGCGAGCCATGCCTCTCCAAAAAAGAGGGAAAGCAGCCGACAATCAGCATGGTGGAAGGGGCGAACAGAACGAAAATCCGATGCATTGGTGTTGCTACTGTCGGTCTATTATCTTCGCCGGAATGTCATCTCCAATGACAATAGAAGCATGTCGCATGGGTAAGTTGAGTGTGCTCTATCCATTGCTGTTAACTCTGTCACTTGTTGTCCTGTGCCTGTTGAGCATCTCTCACTACATCCTGACACATCGCATTTGGATGCTCCATGGTAAACAGTGTCGACTTCTTCCGACAACCCACTAAAACATGGCAGGCAAGGGCGGCACGGCAAGAGCAGACCAAGGGCTTTCCAGCGGTCCACACATGGCCTTCTAACTCAAAGCACAGCAAGTTTTGTTGGCCATCCTATAACTGCCTTGGCTATTACAGTTTTTTCTTTCTTCTCCGTGCTCTATCGAGCGAACTTGACACCATGGGCCCGTCGAAGGTCAGACTCTAGGATACATCGTTAAGTAAAACTACCGTAGTACCTTGACGATAGAAATATTTCACAACTCAACTGGTTTAAAGCTAGCCTGCAAGCCCCGCTCTCGGCACAGCTGGAACGGAAAGTACCGGTTGGACCGACCTTGCGTCGAGCTCTTTCAGAAGGCAAAAAATGCCGCTAACAAGTTGACCATGGCCATTGCTCCTTAGCCAATTGAGCGGAAAGAAATAGCTATCTCGACAAGCCCAATGCCGCGAGAAAGAATAAGAGATTGAGGAATCTGATCAGTCATTGACAAGATGAAGCGATTTTTCGGATTTGGCAAGAAGAAAAAGAAGCAGAAGGAGCGTTTGTCTCCTTCTGAGTTGTCCACGCCTGTTGACGGAGGGTTTCACGCTGCTGCTACAAGCCCTATGTACCAATATGCACGGAACGAGTTTGCTCAGACTGTTGCATCAGGGACATCTAATGATGACGGAAGAGGAGTCTTGTATACTTCACCATTACAGACTCCAAGTAGACTCTTTACGGGTGCAAGAGAACCGAGTCTACTTTCCAATAATACAAGCGCCCAAAGTGTGAATAACAACAACCACAATTCGTGGACAGTCCCAACAGCATCCAACGCGCAAAATAACGAAGATGACATACAAAGCTTCGGAGGATCCATGCAAACCCAAGGGCAGGCACCGACTGCTGTACCGGGAGCCGGTGGTGGTGATGTTGTTGAAAGCACCCAATCACCACTACCATTCAATTCATTGTCTGTGGTCTCCTCCAGAAGTACCAGCCTTTTTGATCAGCAAGATCAGTCGGTGGCCTCTTCTTCACGACAACGACAAGGAGCTACTACACCAGCGTACCAACCACCTCAACAATTTTCAAATATGCAATCACCTGGCTACCACCCTCCCAATCTGCTAAAAAGTGCAGCCTCACCCGAGTCGGCTTCGCAACTTCAGAACATCAACAACCCGCTCGACAGTCCAACCAATCCCAACAATATTGACCCAGATTACATTGCAGCATGCTCCGCCAGCAACCTAGGACGACAAGAGTCCCTCTTCTCACAGGAATCCTCACAATACCCAGTCAACGGTGCAAGTCAAATTCCACATCAAAGGCATGCATACAAGAATCAATTCTTGGAGTTTCCTGCCGGTATGGAATTGCCAAATGCCAACTATGAAGAAGAATATGGGGACGCCTATATCGGTGGTCCCATACGCTACGTCTATCCTTCTGGCTATCAAAGCATGAGACCTCGCAGTGGACCCTGGAAATTGAGCATTGTGATATGCCTGTTGTTTACATGGCTATCTGTGTTCATCGTAGGACACTGCTCTGATCGGGTCGACAGTGATGTCAGTCAATACAATCAAAACGAGATCGATGACGATACGCTTGTCATTGAAACGCGATGGTGTGGAAGTCGACTGCTCTACATGATGTGGGTGATCAGCATGCTTGTGACAGGACTCGCCGCGGCATACTGCTCCATCATTGGATACATCAAAGTCCGCGACTTTGCGGTTGCCAATAGTCGTAGTCAGCCTCCTGGAGTGGTTGGCAAGAGTGACTTTTATGCACAAATAGACGATGCCATGCCTCCCCCTATTCAAGAAACTTCTTCCCAAGGGTCTTTTGCTTCCACTCATCAGCGGAATCATTATCATGTGCCGATTTACCAGGCTGATGGCAATCCTCAGTTTTGGGGAGGGCACATTTATCGCCCTACTCAAGCGGCTGTCGCGTCTGTGGTGCGATGATGAATACTGTACGCAAACTACAGGAGACTTGAAATCAATAATTCTATTAGACAAAGGCCTTGCTAGCCTGTACCAAAAACTCAGGATCCGGACTTGTTCGTCAGGGTAGCTAGTACGGTGCTACTACTGGTAGCTACCTAGCTCGACATGGTGGCTTTTGCCCAGCTGTCTACCGGTACCATAGCTCGACCAGCTTCCTGTGAACCAAGCCTTGGTTGAGCAAGAGAATCGAATGATTAATCGTTGTGACAGACCGGATCATAGTATTGTCAGACAACGTTGCTTCACCTCAATCAAGGTTGTGACTGCTACCTTCACAGCTACCGTAGACACAGCGTTAGGGTTAGCGCTTCTTTGGTTACTTCGCGTGGTTCTTTTCCGGGTGGCATAATTTTTGTTTTCTTCAACCCATGCTACTAGCATCATCTCCTCTCCGTTGTTGTAAAGTCTCCCAAGGGGTACCGGTACATTGGTGTCATCGTTTTGCTCCCTTCTCTCCTAGTCTACTTTCTCCTTTCGGCTACTTGTTTTGTCTACGGTACTGCTTCAATTGATCATGTCTTTGTCGCAGGCCCAGGAAGATCTTCTTCGTCAACTCAAGACAAATCACAAGACAGGTCTCTCAACAGACGATGCAGCTGAGAGACGAGAAGAAGATGGGTGCTTCAACGTGGTAGATCCGCCAATCAACTGCCCTGCTTGGGTTTGTTGTTTGCTGCCATGCATCAAATCCATTCCCAGCATGAAGACCTTTCGAATGATCAAACCAGAAGACGCGGAGGTACTAAGGGACGGTCATTGGTAAGTCACCAACGAAGCTGATCATGTAGACTTGGTTGTATATTCCCATTAGTATCAGCCTCTCGGCCGCGGTGGCATTTCCAAATTTTCATGCTGCTGTCATCACTTTGGCTGCTCCCATCTGACTACTTTTATTGGATTGCTAGGATCCGATATGATGCGACGAGCCTAGTTCGAGGGGATATAATAAGGTTGGAAGAAGGTGACATTGTCCCTGCCGACTGTACTGTCCTATCGGTTGATGATGGCCAAATGCTCGTGGATGGGCGTTATGTCACTGGGGAGGACAAGCCCAGGAGCTGTGAGAAGAATACCGCAACAAATACATTCAAACCAGTACAATTGTTCCTCGGCTCGCATGTTGTGCAAGGCTCTGGAGAGGCAGTGGTCACTGCGATTGGCCCAAATACAAAGCTCGCTACTGTGATTCGAGAAAAGAGATTTCCACCCCAAACAAACATGACGGACGAAGTTGGCTACTCTGATGAAGACCCTGAACAAGGTATAAGTCTAGTAGCTCGTGATGCCTGTTAGCAGTGGTGACAGAAAGAGGAGCCTAATGCTTGCGAGTATTTTGTTATCTGCACTATTCTTGCTCGATAGATCGCCGCCTCTTGTGAAGGTACCAGGTACAGCCGTAGTCACAAAGTAGAACACATGCAACAATGTCACCAAATACCAGTACTGTTTGCCCCGCAGCTTCGTGGCAGAGCTGCGGGGCAAACACACCCAAGAGATTGTCTCTGGTAAATGTGGTGCACTAAAGCCGGTACCGGGACAAGCACTATAAGATCTTAGCAAGCCATGAAGAGCAAATCCTAAATAATGGCGGTTACCCGAGCTTTCGGGCCTCAGAGCTCTCTCCGTCGCTTGACGCCCTACCGCTACAGGATTGCTCTGAATCCATTCGATATATTACATGCGCACAGTTCGTGTGATCATTTTCGCTTGATGGCCACCAGCGGCCAAGAAAAGCTTGCCCGTCCTGGTTCTGTCGTAATAGAACTTGAACAATCGCGCAGCCTTTGGTGGCACAAGATACTGGACTACTAGTAGATCCTGCGGCTGCCTCTGGCTCGTTTTTGCTCTTTGCGCATGCCTTCGGGAAAGAGGATACGAACTTGATTGGTAGCTACCATTAAGTTTGATACATTTTAGGTAGCCACGTGAACCATGCAAAGGGCAAAGGCACGGTGTCAAGTGTTCAGATTGAGCGGCTCGACTCGTCAGCCAGTGTTGCGCGATGACAGAAGGAAACAAAAGCAAAGCAAGGAATGCTTGCCCGTTGGGATCCGTGACAGTTACGATTTCGTAGGTCTTGCAACTCGCTCCCTCACAGAGCCCATAAGATATACCTGGTACCCGTCCAAACAAAGCCTAAAACTACCAATTTCTGGGTTCGGCGGTACACGTTGCTCGGGAGATAGAGCCTTGCAAGGTATACTAGCTAGAGCCCCGGTGCTGCAACTGGTTTCATGCTAAATAGATGCGCCTGTGTGCTTCCCGATTTCTCGGACTGAAACACGGGGCCTGGAACCGCGGATTGCGAGATCGACAAGTCGGAACTCAATCGAGCCAGGCATCGACTTCGACGTTGGCAGTCTTGTGGGATCTTGCTCAAGCCTTGGGCAAGACGCTCTCAAGGCTGTTGTCTTGTGACCCCAATTTTGAAGAGCAGCTGCCCCAAAAACCAAATCAATTCAAAGGAATACACGTTCACATCAGCCCCGCCCCCACTTGAATAATTAATTGACCGCCACAAACAGGGACCAAGAGAAGTCGTACCAAGATTGGAGTCAATCTGGGGCTTCTGATTGGCTGAGTAATTTACGTAGAATGTCAGTACTGTAGGAACGTAAGAAAGAAGAAAGCGAATGACCGTGACCATGCTGCCTTGCCTTGCCTTGGATCCAAATTTTGGATCGGCGCGAACCTCCTCATCACTCGGTTCACAAATCTTTTCCTTCGAGGAACGAAAACACAACAATTGCTCTTTTTGCTTTTGAACATCCAAAAACTTCACCATGGCTGACGACGAAGATATTGCTGCCCTTGTCATCGACAACGGTTCCGGAATGTGTAAAGGTCAGTTGAAAAATTTGTGTTGTTTTCCTGCGATGTTGATGATTTTCTGTTCGATTCGGAGAAAGCATCGAAAGATCTCATCGGCGGAAGATCACTTTGGAGGCGTTGGCGAATATTGTTGGGTGTCTTGCTGAAGTGATTCTCGAGTGGATCAGAGTCGTTCGATTTGTGGCTTCGTTGCGGCGTCGATATCTTTTGCTGTGCTCACAACAAAATTCTCTCACATTGATCCCTTGCTTCACCCATCAGCTGGATTTGCTGGAGATGATGCTCCTCGATCTGTCTTCCCCTCTTTGATTGGCCGTGCCCGTCAGCCAGGTATCATGGTTGGTATGGAACAGCGTGATGCCTATGTCGGTGATGAAGCCCAGGCCAAGCGTGGTGTTTTGACTTTGAAGTACCCCATTGAGCACGGTATTGTTACCAACTGGGACGATATGGAGAAGATATGGCACCACACCTTCTACAATGAACTCCGTGTAGCCCCTGAAGCCCACCCTGTCCTTTTGACTGAGGCTCCCCAGAATCCCAAGGCCAATCGTGAGCGCATGACCCAAATCATGTTTGAAACCTTCAATGTTCCTGCCATGTATGTGAACATTCAGGCCGTCCTTTCTCTTTATGCCTCTGGTCGTACCACTGGATGTGTTTTGGATTCTGGAGATGGTGTTACCCACACTGTGCCCATTTATGAAGGTTACGCCCTTCCCCATGCTGTGATCCGTCTGGATCTTGCTGGTCGTGATTTGACTGACTACCTCATGAAGATTCTTACTGAGCGTGGTTACTCCCTCACCACCACTGCCGAGCGTGAAATTGTCCGTGATATCAAGGAGAGTCTTTGCTTTGTCGCTGTTGATTTTGAGGAAGAGATGAAGAAGGCCGCTGAGAGTTCTGCCCTTGAGAAGTCCTTTGAGTTGCCAGATGGTAACATCATTGTGATTGGAAATGAGCGTTTCCGCTGCCCTGAGGTCCTCTTCCAACCTAACTTGACGGGTCTTGAAATGGACGGAGTTGCTGACTCTACTTTCCAGACCATCATGAAGTGTGATGTTGATATCCGCAAGGATTTGTATGCCAACATTGTGCTTTCCGGAGGTACCACCATGTTCCCAGGAATCAGTGAGCGCATGTCCAAGGAAATCACCGCCTTGGCCCCTGCCTCCATCAAGGTCAAGATTGTGGCTCCCCCAGAACGTAAATACTCTGTCTGGATTGGAGGATCCATTCTTGCCTCTTTGTCCACCTTCCAAAGTATGTGGATCAGCAAGGAGGAGTATGATGAATCCGGTCCTTCCATTGTCCACCGCAAGTGCTTCTAAGAAAATGGTGCCAGTGCTTGCCCTATTTGTACCTTACTTGGAGTTTGTGTTGGGCTTCTGGAGTTGCCTTTTGCGAGGTTCAGCTTGGTGCCATGTGCAAATTAATAATTTCTAATAAATATAAAAAAAGACCTACACACCAGCCTTGGGAGTCTATCCTTTTCCCCTTGTCGTAGTAGCAGCGAGTCGAGTCCTCAAGGTCACCCCCGAGCGGCGAAATAGTTAGTTTGCACCACTATTATTGAAGATCTCCTTTACATCGTTGCATCAGTTTCGCCATATTGTAGGTGCCTGCACCAGCTGAGGGCGCCATTCACAGATACACAGCATCAACCGAGGACGCCACACGTGTCAGCTGAGGCAACAGTTCCTCTTGCCGAACGCAGAGGCCAGTAAACCGGAAAGGCACCCTTGTGGGGTGGCTTTTCCAAGCAGGTTGCTTTTTAAGGGCAAGTGCTGCTATCTGCAGGAGTGAAAGCAAATTACCTACTGTAGAGGTGATGTCTGCTAAAATTTTCAGATTATCACGGTGCAGTCCCACTATTAATAGTATGCCAAAAGAAAATTGTCCCGTCTGGCCGGGAGACTGTATAGTAATTCATTCGGAAAAAAACAGTTTCTGTGGCCAGTCTCTGCATTTTGTAGACTCACGTGGCGTAGTGAAGCATACTCGTATTTGAGAGGATAACCCACGGAGGAATCCGAGCAGTCAATTTGCTCCGTCATTGCAAAAAATTCACAGCAAACATTTCGCTTCCTGCAGCGTCCTCCGTTTTTTGGAGCTCAGAGATTTAATTGCGCTACTCAGCCCCCCTCATCTTTGCTCCTTGGCACCACACATGCGGGTTGGGGTCCAGAATCGGTAGAAAATGGTGGCACGACATGTGTTGCGTGTTTTCGAAATTCAAGCATTGAGGCAACTTGACACCGCACATGCGGGTTGGGGTCCAAAATCGGTTTAAAAATGGTGGCACGGCATGTGCCGCGTGTTTTCGGAATTCCAGCATTGAGGCACTTGGCACCGCATCGCATATGCGGGTTGGGGTCCAAAATCGGTTGGAGAAAATGTTGGCAGGGCATGTGACGCGTAGTTTCGGAATTCCAGCATTGAGGGTCATGCCAAACCATTGGCAATTTTTTGCCATGAAAAAGGAGAGTGTTTCGCAGAGGTTTTGGTTGCCAAAAAGCAAGTTGATAAGTGGGTGTTTGATTTTCTAATGATTCGTTTAGCCGCCCGTGTGCAAGTCAAGTCACTAGACATACACATGCGCATATTTCAACCCTGATCCTGTGTTGAAGAGGACAACAGATTCATGTGGTTTGATCCACCCATCTTTCAGAAGTCGAACTTGAGCCGCAAGGCAAGCTGCTCCTTCGGGGGCAGGGAAAATGCCTGTATTTCGTCCCATTACGCGCGTGAAGTCTATCATTTCTTGGTCGGTGACCGCGAGAGCAGTGCCGCCACTGTCACGCAGAGCCTGAAGAATGAGAAAATCTCCAACCGCTACAGGCACACGGAGTCCGTCCGCGAGGGTTGCTGCACCTTCCCACAGCGTTGCGTGTTTTGCTCCCTCTTGAAAAGCACGGACAATTGGCGCGCATCCTGTGCTCTGAACACAAACCATGCGGGGCCGCTTGGAGGTAATTAGTCCCATTTCTTCAAGTTCAGAAAATGCCTTCCACATACCAACGAGTCCGGTACCGCCTCCGGTTGGATAGATTATCACGTCTGGCAGCGTCCAGCTCATCTGTTCTGCAATTTCATAGCCCATAGTCTTTTTGCCTTCTAATCTGTAGGGTTCCTTGAGGGTGCTCACATCGAACCACCCGAATTCCTTGACTCCCTCTTTAGCCTTGGCACCACAATCGTTGATAAGACCATCCACCAGAGTAACATCAGCACCTAACTCCTTGCATTCGACTTGAAATAGCATAGGTACGTCCTTAGGCATAAAAACGTGGGATTTCAGACCGGCTGCTGCGGCATACGCGCTCATGGCTCCCCCGGCATTTCCAGCGCTAGGAATCGACAATTCCTTGGCTCCTAGCTCCAGCGCCCGGCTGACCGCCATGGTCAGACCACGGGCCTTGAAGCTCCCGGTGGCGTTGGTTGATTCGTCTTTGATGTAGGTATTTTCGCAGCCGATTTCTTTGCCCAATCTCTTGGCAAGATGCAGTTTCGTCCAGCCCTCGCCCAAGCTGATGACATTTTCCTTCCTTCTAACGGGTAGGACTTCCTCGTATCGCCACAGGCTCGGTGGCCGACTTGAAAATGACTCTGCAGTCAACGTCTCCGCAGCTTTTTTCAGGTCGTATCGGGCCAACAGTGGCCGAGAACAGTCTGAACACATGTTGATGAGTTGTTCCGAATCATATTTCTTGCTACAGATGCCGCATTCCAAATGCAGGAGAGTCGAAGTTGTGCTGCAATCCGTTGTCATTATCGCGTAGAACCAACCAGCTGTCTAGTCCTTGGTTTTCGTCTGGTGCTTCTTCAGCTTCTGGGTTGGCTGACAGCTATTGGAATGAGCCAGTTTTACATCAAGACTGCATACAAGATATCGAGAAACGCGATGTTGGCTAATGGTATCTTTGTGATTGCAAAAAGGGTGAAGTCGAGAAGACATGATGACGGTACCGTACGGTGCTACCGGTACGTACGAAAGATCGCGACTTCAGTCTTGCTTGAAGGTCACACCACGTATCGTGGAAAACAAAAAGCTTGCACCGAGGGCAAGTATCTGTAATGTTCTGGAAGTCGCTCCACGGAAAAGGTATCAGGCCTTCGTCGCAGGATAAGTCACATGGCTGATGATGGGCCAAGCAAGGGTAACCTTTCTCTTTCAGCCTTTGAAGACTGGTAAGATAAGCTGGTCTGTTTCTTCACTCATGTTGTTGAAGTCGCTCCACGGAAAAGGTATCAGGCCTTCGTCGCAGGATAAGTCACATGGCTGATGATGGGCCAAGCAAGGGTAACCTTTCTCTTTCAGCCTTTGAAGACTGGTAAGATAAGCTGGTCTGTTTCTTCACTCATGTTGCTTTCGACGCAAAAGCATAAACCAAGCTGCAACGTGGAGAGGCTATCCCTCGCCAGTGCCAAGTTCGAGGCATCCAAACGCCCCATTCTCAACCTCAGTGTCCCCAAAGCATTCTTGACATGACGGTTCTTGCCAAGACCGCTTAGCTACTGGTACAGCTACAGCCTTTGTTTCGGCGTTGTCTGACGCGACGGAAGCGGGTGGGCTTCTCAATATCTTTTGTCGATGTTCGATGAGCCAGTCAAAAAAGCGTGCATACCGAGGATAATGCTTGGTACCAGCAAAATGTGAGGTGGTCCCTCGTTGCAGCCCGTGAAGCGAAAGTCACAATGACTGGAATGCCAAAGGGCGGAATCCAAACCAAACGAAATTTGAAAAAGTTGGACCTGAAAGATCTATAAGATACGATTCCTTCTGCGTAAAGATACTTAACAGTACAAGCAGGACTTCGTTTCGAGAAGGGAATTCCAATGTTTTCCTCCCAAGACCAAACAAAGATCTGCCGCATTCAAGAGAGGGGTCTTGTTGGGACATCTGCCTTGACACTGCACAGCGGGAGGTTGCAGCGACAGCGCAGTGAACCCATTCAACAAGATTGCTTGGATTCTGCCATAAAATTGCTTCTCGGTAGCAACACTCTCTTTCTCGAAACTCTCTTCAAAGAATCAAACAAACTAATTCACCATGGCTGACGACGAAGATATTGCTGCCCTTGTCATTGACAACGGTTCCGGAATGTGTAAAGGTAAGACAACTTGACTTGACAACTTGACTTGATACTTTTGCTTTGTTAATTTTGGATTCGATCGGCAACGATCGGCTTGTCGGCGGTTCGTTTGGATTCGGGGAGCAAAGATACGCTTCTCGAGGTGGCCCACCATAGGCGACAGTACCTCGCGTGACTGTCCGTTCTTCAGCTCCACAGCAAGGTCTTTCTTACACAGTACTCACCTCGAGAGGTTTCTCACCTTTCGATTTTTGCCAAATTTCATTTTTCTACAGCTGGATTTGCTGGAGATGATGCTCCTCGATCTGTCTTCCCCTCTTTGATTGGTCGTGCCCGTCAGCCAGGTATCATGGTTGGTATGGAACAGCGTGATGCCTATGTCGGTGATGAAGCCCAGGCCAAGCGTGGTGTTTTGACTCTGAAGTACCCCATTGAGCACGGTATTGTTACCAACTGGGATGATATGGAGAAGATTTGGCACCACACCTTCTACAATGAACTCCGTGTAGCCCCTGAAGCCCACCCTGTCCTTTTGACTGAGGCTCCTCAGAATCCCAAGGCCAATCGTGAGCGCATGACCCAAATCATGTTTGAAACCTTCAATGTTCCTGCCATGTATGTGAACATTCAGGCCGTCCTTTCTCTTTATGCCTCTGGTCGTACCACTGGATGTGTTTTGGATTCTGGAGATGGTGTTACCCACACTGTGCCCATTTATGAAGGTTACGCCCTTCCCCATGCTGTGATCCGTCTGGATCTTGCTGGTCGTGATTTGACTGACTACCTCATGAAGATTCTTACTGAGCGTGGTTACTCCCTCACCACCACTGCCGAGCGTGAAATTGTCCGTGATATCAAGGAAAGTCTTTGCTTTGTCGCTGTTGATTTTGAGGAAGAGATGAAGAAGGCCGCTGAGAGTTCTGCCCTTGAGAAGTCCTTCGAGTTGCCAGATGGTAACATCATTGTCATCGGAAATGAACGTTTCCGCTGCCCTGAGGTTCTCTTCCAACCTAACTTGACGGGTCTTGAAATGGACGGAATTGCTGACTCTACCTTCCAGACCATCATGAAGTGTGATGTTGATATCCGCAAGGATTTGTATGCCAACATTGTGCTTTCTGGAGGTACCACCATGTTCCCAGGAATCAGTGAGCGCATGTCCAAGGAGATCACCGCCTTGGCCCCTGCCTCCATCAAGGTCAAGATTGTGGCTCCCCCAGAACGTAAATACTCTGTCTGGATTGGAGGATCCATTCTTGCCTCTTTGTCCACCTTCCAAAGTATGTGGATCAGCAAGGAGGAGTATGATGAATCCGGTCCATCCATTGTCCACCGCAAGTGCTTCTAAGGAATGGGCCATGCGCAGGCAAATGCCAGCTGCTGTGTCTGCTCTTTGTGAAATATTATTGGGCCAGCAGTCTTTTATTTTTTGTTGGACCTGAGTTGCTTGCCGTTGTTGAACAACATGGTGATGTGACCGACGGATCAATGAGAAAAGCCTAATTGTTAGAATGTTTTATTCATTGCGGTCCCTTGTCTCTACATAGCTAGCTAGCTAACTAGTTTTCGACTCCTGATATCAAGGTATTCCCGTCGTTGGTGGAGCCGATCTTGCCAAGCCCTGGCAACCGCACTGCAACCGCACCGTACCGATTGCTGGGGGGCTGTAGGTACACGTACTGGAAGCAACGTTGATTGATTGGCTTTTCGGGCAACTGGAGCTGTGCGACACGATCTTTGATAGCTTTTCCTTAGGGTTTAACCCTAAAATATTATTTTGCTGGTTTGTGCCCACAGCGAGTTCGATTTAGTCGAATCGAATCTTTTTTGGGCTCGATCGGATCCATCTATCTTCGAAGATCTTTCTTTTGCACACCATTGATTCTCTCGAACGTTCTCGCTCGTTGGTCCTCAATAACCATGATGAACAACGCGTTGCTACCGATTCGATCCAGTCTTCCCAAGGCTATCAGAAGAACCTCGTGTCGTCTTATTCGATCAGGTCCGCCTTCTCGCTTGGTATCGCCCATCAGGCAAGCATTTCCTGCATCACAGAGTGCTTTTGCTTTGCGTCCTTTTTCGAGCGGCGCCCAGACGCTTTCTGATGTGCTGGCCCGAGAGTTAGCCGAAGAAACCGAGGAAGGTCGAGACCAAATCCCCGAAGAACTTGCTGAGCTTAAGAGTTCTATTGAGAAAGATTGGAAGGTCGTTGACGATGGTGCGATCACTCGGTTGATCCGATCGATTGGAGCCAGTAAAGTGGTTGTCTCGTTTCACTGCCAAGACACGGTGGATGGCGCAGAGGATTATGTCGAGGAAGAAGAGGGAGAAGAACCTGCCTTGCCCTTTCGATTTGAGATTCTTGTGTCCAAGGCAGGAAATACATTGGTGCTTAATTGTATCAGCAATGCTGGTGAAACCACAGTCGATGGGGTTGCCATGACCACTGAAGACATTGAATCGGTTCAAGCCAATGGTATTGGTCGCAACAATTATCAGGGACCTGAATTTCAAGAGCTAGCCGAGGACCTACAGGAGGCACTTCATGAATATGTCTTTTCGGAGCTAGGTATCGATGAAGACGTCTCTGCCTTTGTCTCGATGTATGCTGATTACAAGGAGCAAGTGCAATACATCGGATTCTTGACGAATGTTTCTAAGGTTCTTCCGTAAGATTCATGCTCCCTCTTAAGTCTGAACAGACATAATTGAAAATTTAGCTAGAACCAATCAACGAATAAAAAATAGAGACTGATATTGAGCTTGTTTGGAAGCGGGTGCTTTTTGGGAAACAGAACTGGGGTACTCCTCACACGAAGCCATAAAAGAGTCACGCAACAACGGTATCGACAACGACAAAGGCATCAGCTGTCTCAACGTACCCCGCGCAGCTGATCCTTGTACGGGGTTTGTATGGTTCTCTCACGGGTGGTACACAAAGGGACGTTCATGCAGACCAAGCATATCGTCAGTTACCGCCACTCAGCAGTTGTACTGCAGAGTCTCCCGGCAGAGCAACCAGCAACAGCCAGAGGTCGCCAACTAGAATGAGGTAGACCGTGATCTCCAACTTGACTCATTTTTCTCATTCCCGCGACTTCCCTTGCGATAAGCATTTGCTTTGCTCGAAGTTTCTCTGTAATCCACAATGACGGCGCAACCTGACAGAGATAGCACGTTGTACACTTGAGATTTGTAGACCCTTCCACCGGATTCGGCTGGAACTGCACGATAAGCTGAAGTTATGGAGTAGGGAGGAATCGAATCTCAGCAAGCCATGTGTCACCCGTACCGTTCATGCCTTTTTGAAATCGACGTACCTATCATTGCGTTCCCCCCGAGTGATGCCACGTGTGCTGTTGGGCCCGAAGTTCGTGAGAGCAAGACTCATACAACATAGATATTCCAAACACGGCGCAAAGAAAACGCATACCTCGTGCAATGGCGTTGCATTCTGTAACAAAGCGTCGGAACTCTGATGCCTCTCCTCCACTAGACTCTCGGACAAAATGCATCGACACGATACCCAGGTATTGAGTGACAACGGCGCCTGTAATGTGGTGCAAAGGGGTTAGCTCTACCGGCACTTCAGTAACTTTCAGCCATGCTACACCGCCTGTAGCTGTAGCTGGGCTAATACCCAGACTAAAGTGGGTGGCAGGTTCGACTCGATTCAGTGGTGGAGCCAAATCAACTTGCTCGCTGCCCAGGAGCGCCAAGGCCGTCAGGTTAGGCCTTGATGATGATGATGTCTGAGCATCGCCAATGCTTCTTTGGCGATACTGAGATGCGCTCTTTGGAGCCTCCGGACCTGACGATGAGATAGACGCCGACATAGCGGTATCGCCTCCTCTACTGAAGATGCTGGCCATCGTCTCGTTTCGGCCTCTGATAAACGGTGACATCCGGGGAGATAGTTCCGCCGCGGAGGATCTCCTTGGTGACATTCTTGGTGATGCGTCTGTGTGGCTCCCTCCAGGGATGCTCCCTGTGCTGAAGGTTGCACTGAAATTAGGTAGCTGGTCCATTGTACCCCCAAATTCGTGTTCATAGAACTTGACATGCAGCTTCTTCATGCGTTCACTCAGCTTGTCTTCGATTACGGTTGCTCTGTTCTGCGCAATCGGCGGTTGCACTTTGAACCAAACAGACATGCTCTCCTCGATTTGCTTCAGAAGCTGCCGAAAGTCCGAGTCTTCCTGGCGTCGAGTCTCCAGCTCGTCCGCTCGAGAATCGTTGTCGCTGTCATTGTTCTCGCGTATCATTGGTTTCTCAAAGCGACGTTCGAGTACAACCTTCCCTGTGCATATCAGCTCAATCATGTCATCTGGTGTTAGATTCACTTGCGTCCTTAGACCGCAGATAACTGCGGGGGCAAAGGAGCGGATCTTGTCGCATAACTTGGCAAACAACTCTTGGAAAAGGCTTGAGAACAGCAAATTACTTCTCGTTCCTCTCGACGAGGGGTTCCATTTGTACCTCAGCATTGACATCAACATGTATCCATTGGAATCTTCAGATTCGTGTCCTCCATTTCCTCTCCCAAAATCAGGCATGTACTCGCTCGTGCACATCCTCACTCCTTCTGGAAGCTCCCGGTCCAAGAGAACACTCAAAAGGTCTTCGTCGGTTTCATCGTCGATTTCCAACACGAAAGGTTGCTGCAGCAAGCATCAATGAGGGTGCGTGGTTCAACAAGGCTTATGTGCACTAGAGAGGAAACGACGTACCTTGTCGTCACGATACATGCGACGACGTCTGCGCCGCCGCAGTCTCCCTTTATCCGCGACCAGCTGCTCTGCCTTGATTTTGGTTTCATATTCGTCTAGATCCTCCATATCTGATGCCGTCCCCAATTGTCGTTCATCTTCGCCATCTTCGCCTCTCATGAGCTCCCCACCTGACACATAAACATCATCTTCGAAGTCCTCGGCAGACGCGCCAGAATCTGAACGGCCACGTCCACCAACGGAAGTGTCAAGCCCCGATGCCTCACTTGACGCAAAAGCTTTCGCGTCAAAAGGGCTTTCGTCGCCTTGTGCATCGTCGCCTTCTTTCTCGCTTTCACTGGAGCTACTCGAGGAAGAACTGGAGCTACTCGAGGAAGAACTAGAAGACAACCCTGAAGAATCTTCTTCGTCATTGTGCTTTTCGTTCGTAGCCTGGCCGCTTGTCCCGGCCCCTCCTGGGCTTTCATTCTGCTCGTTTTTCTGCAAGCCATCAAGGGTGAGATCCACCGACCCTATGCTGAGCTTTCGGTTGGATGTCGAATCTGTACTGCGTTTGCGTTTCACAAGGTCTTTCTTCTTCATACTTTCTAGTCTCGCGGCTTCCCGCCTCAGCTGTGCCTGTTTCATCTTCTGCAAGTATCTCTTTCGCACTCTGTTGGCGTGTCGTTGAGCCGCCCCCGCTAGCCTCTGACGATTCTTTGCCGAAATAACCTCGATCTGGCGTTGCAAGTGTAGGAGACTTTGATCTTCTTCATCTTGCACCTCCTTTGAGATGGAACAAAAGAGCAACGAGTGAGTAAAGATGAATAGAACCCTTTTCGTGGTCTCAAATATGAAACAATGTTCCTGTCTTACAATTGTCCGAGAGATCTCCAGAACTCTGGGAGCCGGCATTGCTGTTTCATTGGATCAATGTCAAGGGTTGAAAGCAACAACACAAAACGCAACATGTGAGCGGCATGATACCACGAGGGGGGCGACACGCAGAATTTCCTTTACTCACCTGTGCAATACACAGCCGTCGCGGTTACCGTTGAAACTATCAAGCGTTGTCCTACATCAACTTCACTCTTAAGAGCAAACGCTGCATTTCTTCCTATTACTTTGAGCTTCAACATCAGCTGGCGTGCCAGCTCATATTCCAGAAAAGGAAGAGCCTCGCTAACAGCAAGGGCGTCGCTCTCCCCTGTTGATTTGGGTCGAGACCGACAAACCCGTGCCTGCACGAACACACCCGACCCGCGAATGGGCAGGCTATCAGGAGGTTCCACGGTAGCAAGTAGAATTTCAGGAACCCATTTCTTCCCTGCGAACAGAGCTTTCGTTCAGAGCACAGCATAAACTGGCAACGCTTCAAAAATGACATGCAACGTGGAAAACTTACCGCATAGTAGACAGGGCACGAGTTTCATATTGGAAAACGGAGCGATGCGATGGTGATATGGAACATGACAATAAGAGCTTGGCAGGAAGTTCAACGAAGCGTAAGGATGGCATCAAACAGCGGTCCAAGGGTCTGCTGAAGGATTTTCTGTACTTACCATGGCTTGGCTCGCCGTGCCCGAAGGACAGTGACTGGCTTCAAATTGTCCGAATCACGACTGGTATATTCGTTGAGTTGCCGTGTGCTTGCTGGTGACATCGAGTTAAAGTCATTTGGCGCCGATGCCGCGTCGAGACGTTTGCTGTGCCCTCTGCTCCCTCCTGCCGCTCGTCTCATCCTTCTGTTGGCACGTTCTGCCCGCCGTGCACTCCTGGACTGAGTGAGACCAGGGACGACATCTGAATTTTGTTCATCGCCATCGTCGTTAACAACTCTGTCCAACTGATTGGTCCACAACCTTTGAGACGGAGCTGTTAAGTCTGGGAGCCCTCTTACCGAGGCAGCTGTTCCTGTAATGCTCAGGATGGCAACATCATCGTGGATTGTAGAGGCTTCGAGGTACCCAACAACATGGGAACAACAGAGGATTTTAGCGTGTGCCCTGACCGAACGAAGGAGACAAGTCGACAAACAACATGAGTTTTTCTGCAGATATCCACCAAGCTGAACGCTCACACCAGCCAGCCAATGATACCTACTTGATCTCATCACGCAACTCGTTCCACCAGGAATCTCTGGTTTCCTGATCCAATAGCGAGCTGGCTAGGTTTCCCAGGTATTTGACGCTCCGAGCTGTCACCAATCCCCCAATCCTCACTCGCACATTGGGATCAAAATATCTGAGGGTGAGGAGTTGGACTTCTTCCTCTTGTGACGCCTCGCGATGTCGAACGGTATTCGCTGCTGCCGCAGCAACAGCTTCAGAGTATCTAGATGCCAGCCGGTTTTCAAGCGTTTGGTCGGGCCGTGGATGATCGGACCCATCGATGGCCACTGATAATCTTTCACTTTCCGCTTTGTCCCCTGATCGTTCCAGCAACACACAAGTTCCATACGTCCTGGCAACAATTCCAGAGTCTCCTTCAACATCAAAGTTCTGGGGCACACGGCAAAGTGTTCATCGTGGATGTAAGAATAGGGATCGGAAACAAGAGCAACCCCAAAAGTATGCATCGATGAACAAGATCAAACACGTGCGCTCCCTACCTGATGATACCCCAATACAGCATTACCACCCATCTAGAGAACAAGAAAAACAAACGCATTGTGTGTAAGAAGCATCAATTCAGGATTCTCACATGACATCGTTGTTGTACATGTATCTTTCTTACATCCAGAACAGTTTTGCACATACGCCGTCTGACACAGGAATCCAACAAGTAGAGAAGTGTCTGGCGTGTTTCATGACTTGTCTTGGCTCTCTTAAAGTCATCATTCCATTGAAACTCTGGATCTGACGCCACTACTAGTTCCTCGACAAACCCAAAGGAGTGGGTAATCTTGAGTTCTGAAACTGGATCCAGTGTGGATACCGGAAGTAGTCGAACACCGGCCGAAGAATCTCTAAAGACGTTTACGTCCCCAATATAGGTTAGTTTGATGGAGAGCCCTAGTTCCCCTGTGAGATTGACATGTCAAGACAAGACAAGAGCAAGTTTGAGCTGGTTGTGGTTGTTTTTGGTCGTTGAATATATATCCCCGAGCTACGCGATCCATCGTACCTCGTACACCTCCTAGCGTGTCGTAGAGCGGGAAAAAGCCATCAATCACTCCAGTGGATATTCCTCCCTTCCAAGCATCCAATCTCAACGCAGATCCATCTCCTCCTCGATGGGCATCTTCATCTTCTCTGGCAGCTTGTGTGGACAAAAGTGGATTGAGATCAATATATACCAATCCAATGGATTCATCGGATTGAATGGCATCCCAATCACATACTCTAAATATGAGTGGTTCATCTTGTAGCATGGAATCCGCCGTGACATCGAATCGGAACTCTTCATCCCACACTGGATTCAAGCTTCTTCGGCAGACTTTGGTTTTGGCCGTGTACCCCTTGCTGGTGGTTGAGGATCCTGTGTTGCTATTATTGCTGCCTCCGACAAAGTTTCTGTTTCCATCTTCTTCCGTGGTGGATGCAATGAGATTGCTGGAGTGTCCTCCCAAACTGACCACCACATAGGCATCAATCGAAGGGGGACCACTGAACGTGGACGGATGAAAGATGCCCGCCATGGGTGATGTTCCCGTGTTGCCCATCGGTCGTCGATTGTCCATGGGAGGAAGATTCCGTGCCCCCTTGACGCGCACTTTGACAGTGGATGGCATCTTCTATGTATTTATACCGATAGAGATCAAGTTGTAAGGAAGTTGTACCAATAAGGTTGACGAAAACAATAAGTAGGCATGGGGTCCCTGTTATGTTGTCATCTTGTTAGCGATGATGTGTGCTGGATCATGGATCCAAACCTAAGCCAGCTAAACTGTAATGTGGAATTTTCCTTGGGAAGGTGACACATCTGGGCGAAGGATGCCACGTCAGCACCGTTCGCACCCCGCCTCGCCATTTGTTCGCCGTTGTTTGTTGTTGTGCCACAAATTTCTCATCTACCGGTATCTCACTCGAGTGCAAGCGACACCATTAGTATCCACCAAAGCACGAGGTTTGCTGTGATCTTCTTGCTTGATCTTTCATCTGCGGGTACGGTACTGCTACTGTCTGGTTCCTCACCAAAGTGGTTTGGTTGGTTTAGCTTTTTTCATGTCGACAATGACGGCTTCTCCTCACTGTTCCAAGAATTCTCTGTGTCCTTCTGCGAGAAAGAAGACATGTGACAGCAACTCGAGAAACCACCGGCAGCCATGGACACGAAGTGTCGTAGTGGTGACGGCACTGTTGGCCTTGCAACAGTCGTCGACAATAGCGTCAACATCTTCACAGCCTCGAAGAAATCCTCACTCATCGTCGCACTCCACGGACGAATTTTCTTGGCAAGACTATTCGTCGGACAATTATCACCACCTGATACAGCAACAGCAGCAGCAGCAGCAAAATAGCCTCACAGACAGCAACAACAGGTTTTCTTCTCTGTATTTGTCCGATGACGAATACGAAGAACAAGTTTTATCGGCATTGGCTAGAGCCGACGACAGAGATTTGGACCAAGACGACACGGATGAACTCTTGATGGACTCTTCCGATTGGTTTTCCACTTCTTCCTCCCGTCGACGACCAAGACAGCCGAGGAAAACCAAGAAAGATCAAAAACAAGAGAGCGATGTTGGAGAAGAAGAAGAAGAAGACGTGTTCTTGACAAAGCTACAACGATTCAAGGAGGCTCTGTTGCACACCAGTGCTCTCAATCCGACAATAACGCCGACGACACTTCAGAAGGAAACAGAGGAACACACAGATGCAACAGGACAACCAGACACCAACAATTTACCTCCAAAAAAGTCTCAGGAAATGGCGACTCTATCGTCAAAGAAACTAGAAACAACGAGACTGGGTCGGGATACTGGGATCAAGTTGGTGTCCAATGATAGTTGGAATCAAGTCGAAAATCAGAAACCGTCAACCAATCAACAACTTAGTAGTGGAGGACTGGTACAGGTGGAAACTAACGTAAGGAAGGAATCAGACTCATCCTTTGCTCGCCCAGTACAACATTTCGCCGCCGACAACAAGAACAATGACAACAAACCAACCTTACATCAAGAGACAACCAACCATAAAACCCAGCCACAGCAACCACCAATTACCAAAGTACGCAAACACAAGCCAATGCGACCAGCTTTTGTGAGAGCCTTTTCCAACAACAACCAACAACCACAAGAACAATCCCTCCAGCAGAAAAACTCCATCATCCAACCTCCTTCTCCGCCCGCTAGGGCTTCCATGATGGACAACAACAATGTGTCACCATGGGTTCGAAAGTTCCTGTCAACAAGGCCCAAGGATTGCCTTTTACTCGTACCTCGTGACTACCTTGTCGATAACTTTAATCTGGCACGGCTGGCACCCGTGGTGGAGCACTTGGCAACCTTGAAACAAAAGCAACTGGAAGCACCCTCACCCAATCTGGAACAGCGCACATCCTCATCGTTACATCAACAACAGCAGCAACACCAATCCACTCAAAAGCAACACTCGTATCCAATCTACAGACAAGCACTGGAACTGATTCTTCGGCAAGAAGGAAGCAATGAAGAAGAACCGTCTTCCATCGTTCACTATGCTGCAGAAATACTATACTGTTTGGTACATGCCCGATTTGTGACGACTCCACGTGGCCTCGACACCATTCGTAGCCGCATGATCATTCATGGGAGTCACTCTATCAATCAACCTCTGTTTGGACGTTGTCCAAGGCTGGGGTGCCGGGGGATGCCGCTGTTACCATGCGGTTTGTCCGATGATTACGATCCTGACGATCAACCGCAATCGTCACGGGCCAAGAGATACTGCTGCAATTGCCAAGAAACCTTTCACTTTTGGGATAGCAAGGTGCAAGGATGTGCCTGGGCTGGCAAATCTCTTTGCCATTTGTTGCTGCTAGTTTACGGCAAGAAGGAACTGTTTCCATCGCATTTCGCCACCGACAGCACCGACAACAGCGCAGATATCCGCCGCACGCACGCAGATTCAGGGAGCAAATCACGAGAATCTGATATCGGAGAAACCGGTCGTATCTTTGGCTTTCCGATACATCATGACATTGTTCAAGATTGGTGAACTGCAAGAGCGATCTTGTCATTGAGAATCCAGTGGCCGAACACAAACAAGGTCTGAGAGATTTAAGATTCACCCATTGGACATCACGGTGTGCTTGGCGTGCTCCAGAAGACCCCATGGAACGCTGTGACAAGCAAGGATCTGAGAGGAGCTGCGATCCAGATTCTGGATGGAATGCCTCTCGGATTGATTTCCAGCAAGGCACCGCCCAGGCGAGGCCGCCGAACACTGGTTAAACGGGTGCTAGCAGTCCCTTTTCAGACTAGCGCGATTCTGGGTTAGTCCAGTAGTCACCGCCCAAGCGGTCCTTTTGCTGGACACTAGCTAGAGACATTCTATAATCTTCCAATCTAGCCGTCTTTCACGTATGTTTGATTATCTCTACTGGTTGTCTATGAATGATCGTGGAAGCAACGTTCTAATCGAGAGGAGTCCTGCCCATTCGTCGAAGGTCACGGCACATGTTCTTGTGGTGACTTTCGTTAGTGCCACCTCCAATTTCAAGAAGCTTGGCATCCCTCCAGAGGCGTTCCACAACATACTCACCCACATAGCCATACCCTCCCATGACCTGAATGGCTCGATCGGCCACATTCTTGCTCATCTGGGCACAATAAAGTTTTGTTCCATCCGCGTCCAATCCATTACCATACGTAGACAGGTCAAGGGAGTTGGCTACTCCATAGACATAGCAACGGCCCGCCATGTACTCTGCATAGCTTTCAGCAATGTGCTTTTGGACTTGTCCAAATTGGTACAAGTTGGAAGCTCCAAAGGCAGACCTTTCCCCTGCGTAACCCTTCATTTCGTCCAGAGAACGCCTGGCAATACCCAGTGCCATTGCGGCCAAACCGAGGCGTTCAATCTCCAAGTTTCTCATCATACACAGAGTGGCTCCATTGACTTCTCCCACGACATGAGTATCCGCCGGGATGAACACATTGTCAAAGACCAATTCTGCTGTGTTGGATGCTCTCATTCCAAGCTTATCGTTAATCTTTTGACCACAGGAGAAACCCTCCATGCCCTTTTCAACCACAAATTGGGTGACATCCGACTTCTTCTCTCCCGTGCGAGCATACACGAGGAAGCAATCCCCCGTGGAGCCATCATTGTCATTGGTCAGCGTTCCGTTTGTAATCCACATTTTCGTACCGTTCAGGATGAAACCTTTCTTTTCGGCATCGTATTTGGCATTGGATTTCATCCCAAGTACATCCGTCCCAGCATTGGGTTCACTCATGCACATGCCTCCAATCTTGGCTCCGGAACAAATGTCGGGTAAGAATTGTTGCTTTTGTTCGTGGCTTCCGTTTGTAGAAAGGTTGTTGACCAGGAGTAGGCTGCAAGAAAATTAATTGTTGAAAATGAGATACAAGGGTGAAACCAGCAAACGGAGTTATTTTTTCGTCCCTTGAACGTACGAGTGGGCCAAGTATGACAAACAAAATGCCGGGTCTGAGTAGCTCAATTCCTCATGGACAACGCACACAGCTGCTGCATCCATCCCTGCACCACCATACTCAGGATCCACAGTGAGGCCTAGAATTCCCATCCCGCTGTCGCCAAGTTTCCGAAACAGGTCAACGTTGAAAATTTCTTTTTTGTTGAACTCCAATGCTTGCGGTTCCACCTGATAATAATATACCGAAGAACAAATACATGTAGCACGAATGATGTTAATAAGTGAGAAAACGGCAACAAGCAAATTCTTCCGTGAAATCGAAGCTTCCTTTACCTCACGCTCAACAAATGTCTGCAACATGGATCGAAGCGCCTTGTGTTCCTCTGTAGGATTGAACATGGAATTCAGAGATGTCAAGGTCACAGAATCATCATCATACGAATCGAAACCAGCCGAAGATGAGGCAGTCGAGAAAAGACGGGAGCTGCTACTTCGCAGGCTACCGTGGCCATGGGAGGTACCAACAGCTCTTCGGACAAAGACACGGGCAGAAGCAGAGAGCATGGTCAGGTCAGGTCAGTTATCACAAGAAAAATTCTTGGAAAATGGACCCAGCTTGATGAGCTCTTGATGGCACCAAGCCGAGGAATCCAAGAAGAACTGACTAGATCGGTCCCAGCTGCGAAGAAATGACACGAAGGCAATCAACGAATGGAAGTTCTCAACTTGAGGCCGGCGCGAACAAGCAAATGTGAGCTAATGTTTGCCCCCCGACTTTCCACGTCGGGATTCCACACCGTGGTTGACTACTGTTGCGACACCGAGACCGGCTTGACTTTGCTTTTCGCCCACCGGTACCGGGACAATTTCAGGTACCGGTACACGTCGTTCAATACCGCTACCATGGTGCCGGCAGTGCAAAAAGCAAAGCTTCAATTGGAGAGTAGTAATGACGTCTTCTATAGTAATTACTCCTAGTCTTTTCGATTTTTAGCATACTGGTATTGATACGACCTCGCTAGACATCATGACATCTTTCTCGTTGGTGGTCCCCCGTTTTCACTTTTTTCAGGTTGGACGTAGAAACTCAACCAACCAACTGACATGATCCAATGAAAAAAGTTGAGGTTCATGGAGAGATCCAAGCCCAAATGAAATAAAAAGATCATAATGAGTGCAAAGGAGCGAGTTCTGTCAAACCACACCAAAATGGGACAAGCCACTTCAGACACCAGCGTTTGCCACGTAAGAAACTTGAGCACTGAATAGTACCCAAACATCCAATGTGGATTGAAGAGATTGCCGTACAGTTCGTCAAGGTGTACGACATACCACAAGGCTGACCCATCAATCCATTCGTTTCCCTTCCACTTGAGCAATCCAGTGGATAGATACACAAGGCACATTTGAATTTGCATAAGGCGAAAAGGCCACATGGGCCAGGAAGCTTCTTCCTCCTTTTTGCTTTCACGCTTGAAGAAGGTCCAGACCGTGTATCTGTCCAAGGGAAAGAAGATGAGGTAGAAGGCAAGTTGCTTGAAAATTGTGTCTTCGTCGTCCCAAATTATATTGTTGTGATGCCGAAACATACATGTCCAGAAGAAGACAAAAACAGCTTGGAATCTGGGGGCAATGCCCAAACCCAACAGGACAACATGGGAGAAGAGCAACCAATAGGCAACCCAATAGACTGTATCTGTCTGTGGGAGGAATTCGAAGATACTCCAAGTATCTTGATCAATGGTAAGTCGCCCTTCTTTGAGAGGGATGCGACTTGTGCTGGGAAGGAAAAAGTCTTTGAAATCAAGCCCCGTCAATATAACATTGCCCAGAGCCGCAATCGAGTAAGCAATGCGAATGATTCCAGCCCATTGACAGCCGGCTTCGCCTGTACGAGAATGAAAGAAATTTTCCCATAGCTGTCCAGTGACTAGCATCATTAGCCACTCCTTTGTGGCTCTTGGAACCTCGCTGAGAAGTACCGGTAATTCCCTTCGCGATAGTACTGGAGCTTGACTGGTTCGAAGAGTCCCGTCTCCTTGGGAGGTGGCATCACTGTTGTCCAATGCCGCCACAGCTCGATCCTGTCCGGAAGAATTTTTTCCCCTGTTTCCGCGCTTACGGTTACGTGTTCCATTGCCAGAACCTTCACCAGAGGTTCCCACAGAGCTTTGTTTTGGTCCATCCGAATGCTGTCGTAATACTCCATCCACCGAAACATTCTCCTAATAAGTCAGAATTGTGTCATTACAGATAATATGACAAAACCATGGTTTCATTATTAGACAGCCATACCGCGACATTGAATAAATCTGCAAGCTCCAAATTCAACTACTTACCACTTTTCCCATGGTTTCATTCCTGCCCATGTTGGACTTCGCCACTCAATTTCTGTGGAATTTGGGTAGATGATTTTCGCACTGACCCGGATATTTTCCTTTCTCACGTCTGGAGCAAAGAGATAATATCGACCTTGCCAAAGCCCGGTAAAGTCTAGGTAGCAATCCAGATCGTCTTGCGGTTGCTGAAGGAAGCGAAAGACCTTGTACTCGTAGGTTGGGATCACGTCCAAAATGAGAACTGACAAAAGCAACAGGAGAAACAAGTTGACAATTTGACGCTGAATCCAAGCCTTCTTCAAGTGCTGGACCATTGGCAGCTCAGTCGCTATATGATAGGAAGCGTGGGGAATAGAATCAATTTCTTTCGATCAGCCTTTGTCGGTTGGTGATGGCCTTGAAGACAAACAGATTGTCGCAACACGAGGAAAGGGTGGATTTTCACCCGTTGCGTTGTTGACCGTTCTGATCGCGGATCTCGGATCTTGCACGAGAGATCGAGCGAGCTTTCCGAATTGGCAGCCATTTTGCCATATCTCTAACGCTAAATATAGTTTAGCCTGTAACCCTAAACATTGAACGGCAGAACCGGTACACGTACGAGATCGGAGGAAAACTAAAATTCCGCCCCTGCCGTCCGTGCTTGGCGATTTTCCAAGGAGGAGGATTGACAATATTAATAATGGCCTCTGCTAATGCCGCCGACACGGCACTGCATGAGCGATCGTCGTGGTATGCATATCTCTCCCGGCCCCCAACCACTTGACTCCTTTCGTCCTAGAGAGCTGTAGTAGATCAGTGCCATACACTGATCACGCTATCCATATCTCGGCCGCCTTGGGACACTCCATTTCTACAAAACCATGGCGCGATTACTAGTAACCAAGAGAAAAAGATCCGTGGTATCTACTCCATCGGCCTCTAAAAAGAGGATACGCTTGATCTCGCAATTGCTTCTTCGGGTGAGAACGGTGGTCCTGTTGATCCTCTTGGTAGGAAGTCGCTTACGATCACAAAATATCGAAATGGAGGTGCAAGCGGCAACTGCCTTCATCGTCGAGGGAAACACAATCTCTGAGTATGCGCGGGGACGTCAGGCGTTTGCCTCTCAAAAGAAATTTGATCCACCTCAATGCACATCAGATCAAATGGAAAAGCTGGCCTACCAGCTACCAGCAGATGACTGTAAGGCAAACAAAGACGCACCCTGGAACAGCAAATGCTCCTTTTCCGTTGCAACGCGATGTCCAGATACTTCCTGGCTGGATCACCATTTTACGATCCGACAAGCCTCCGACGGGGAGGAGCCATTCCTGAGTTTCTTTGTGGGGTGCAATAAAGCGATTGATGCCGTACATGCATTGAGAATGGGAAGCCGGAATGCGAAATTTGATGTTGGTCTGTGGAAAACGAAACTGTCTGAAGGAAAAGAAAATGACTTTGCAGGATCATCTTGTGCTCAGTTTGATAAGAACTATGAGTTCGGAACAGAGCAACCAATTCGACAAGCCCAAGTTTATTGCTTTGAACCTGTTTCGTCCACATTTGCCGAACTACACAGAACCAAAATTGAACTGGGCTGGAAGAATGAACTTGTCTTGGACGAGTCAGCTTTTTCGCACCAAAGTGGGACCATGTGGGTTCCCAAACAAGTCCAACTAGGAAAGGAGAATGCTGGTTTGGAAAATCTAGCTTGCGGCAAAGAAAAAGATGCTGCAAACTGCAAGCAAGTACCAATCCACACTCTCAATGACTATGTTGGGTCTATGAATGGAAAACCCCAAATTCATTATTTGTCCATTGATGTGGAGGGATATGATTTTGAAGTTCTCAAGGGAGCAGCCAACATTCTGCAAGACCAAGTCCATTACTTGGAGTTTGAATACAATTGGAAAGGGCCCTGGAAAAGTCAAAACCTTGCAGATGCAATTAATATGTTGCATGATAATGGCTTTGTCTGTTATTGGCCTGGTCCGAGAGATGGCCATATATGGAGGATAACTGGCTGTTGGCAAGATCACTATGCCCTCAGGTTTTGGTCCAATGTGGCTTGTGTCAATGGACAAATTCCAGAAGCAAGACCCCTTGCATTGGATATGGAAGAAAAGTTCCTTCAAACCATTGGGCAGCAGAGTCTAGTGTACAAATCACGGTGATGTGACCTGAAGGGTTAAGTGAGGGGATGTTGGCACTACCTATCAAAAGGCAATCAACGAGACCCTTTGATTTGACTTTAGCAAATAGTGCTGGATGCAGGTAGACTTTCATAAAGAAGGCTACTAGTATCAAGATTGCTACTACTACTCCACTAGCTAGCTAGCAGCTCGCTAGCTTGTGGTCGATATTGCTCTTCTTGCCTTTTGCGACTTACTACATCGTGTGCTGTTCTGGCTTTGACGGGTGGAATGGAGCTTGAGGGGGCGGTCCGGACGGTCCGGTACCGGTAGCGGTACCGGTACGTACTGGTACTGGTACCGGTTTACGGTGGTGAACTTGAACACGACTCAAGGCCATTTGATGGTCATTTGGATGTCATTCAGTCATTATCAGTCATTTGGAAAGACCCAAGACGCGCTTTTCTCAACGGTTTGCAAGAATGGTCGGAACCGCGGTTTATCCCACTTCTCATGCTGTTCTTACTGGCACAACAAACTTCGTCACTTTTGCTCTACAAGATTGCTTTCGCACAATTCGTCCACCGGCAAAGCTATCAAATTTTTCAGCTGGCCTGGCCACCACAAGAACGTCGGTCTGGAATCGTCAACATAATAACTTTGTTGTTGCTTTGTTACCGGTAGCATTGCTTTTTTCTCTGGCGTCTCATCTCATTCATCGAAGTTTCTACCCCCAAGCAAGCATCCAATGTGCAAAGTCACAACCGACACCCCTCCCGTGTCGCCGTCTTGCGGTGGCAAATCAATTGTGGTTGGCATTGCAGCGCCATCATCATCATCCGAGAGTGAACGGCCGTCGCGAAAGCGCCGAGTACGATTTGGAACAGATGAGGAACGTGTCTTTGAGAAGGACTTCACTGCTGATGACATGTGCCACATTTGGTACAACGTTGAAGAGTTCATGAACATGAAATCAGAAATCTACGGCATGATTCGATACATCAACAGCCAGCCCTTGCATCTACAGAACAGCGATGTCCACGACAGCGCATATTACTGGAGAGGCTTTGAGCACATCAAGCAGAAGCGACCCCGAAAGGAAATCCGTCGAAAGCACGTCAGTGATTTGCTCTACTTTCACAAAGTAATGAGCATCACGGATCCAGTTGGTCTGGGCTTGCTGGCTGTTAGCAACAGTCGAGAGGCTTTGGAGCGAGCTCGGCAGTTGGCCGTCAAGGATGAATCTGAAGCCTTTGCAATCTACAACGAAGATTACACGGATATTGTATCCTCGTCTTCAGACGATGAATCCTCTACGTGTTCGGAAGGATCATCAGTTGTGGTGTCCATGCAAGATGATGAATGCGAAGTCCAGCCCATCAATCCAATGACAATGACCATCTGCCGGGGAGAGGAAGACTCCAAGACTGTTCGTCTCCTACAAGTACATGACAACCTGCCTGCGCTGGCCCCCGTCGAGGACGACGCTGTTCTCTCGCTTATGTTGCTCCCGTACAAACTGGCACTTTTGCTCTTCCCATGTATCTGTTAGTTTGCCAGCCTGTAGTTTATGTTTTGGTTTTCTGATTTCTTATGTATCCCAGCTATCCCTAGCTAGCTAGCTGGTGCGCAGCTCCCAATTGCTGCAACTGATAATGGTGGCGACTCGAAAATGCTTGTTATACTAGCCCATTATAGCTGTACCTGTGCCTCTCTGGTGAAGACCAGGGAGAATAACTAAACTCGGCTAAACCGAGCGCTCTAGTAACACGCTAATTTTATCCGACCTCATAACACTCACTCCTAGTAGTAGCTAGCTATCTATCTAGCCAGTAGGACACAACTTTGCACCATGTCGCGCTCATTGACACTGGTATTTGCTGATGCCTTGCGGAACCATGGTGAGCGGTACACTGCGTTCTGCCTACCAAGCGAGGGTACCGGTGGCTTGTCCCTGTGGCTGTGTCATAATGATCGTGCCGTTGGCATCACATGGCATGCAAGCAAAGCTTTCCAGCAGCGCACCAGCTGGTACGGTTCGAAAGAGCTGTTCCAAGTGTGCCTTCTGTACTAGCTAGTACCACTCCATGTACAGTACCGTATCGTACCCAGTCGACAACATTTAGTTGGCAAAGCGGCCTTCACACTCGGATGAATTTGAAGAGAAAAGCCAGGAAGACTGCCTGGTACCTGATACCACCATTCCGAAACCTGCTCCCGAAACATGCTCGGAACGATCCTCCGATGCACTGACTATGGGGAGGGGGCTCGTCGCCATCGTATGTTGGCGGCACACTGCAATCGCCGCATGCCGTCGTCGCCCCCTCCGACTTGTGATTTTGTCATCTACACTTTAGCTAGCTAGCTAGTCTCATGGTAAACATAGAACTAAAATGGAAAAAGAAGTGAAAGATCCAGAAAGGATCAGAACTACCTAAGGTCTGGCCTTTAACCGACCGCAGTGGAGGCGATCAGTTTGCAATCTAAAGTCTCTGTGACCGAGGGAAGTAACTTCCCTCCGAGGGCATCTTCGTATGCTTTGAAGCTTACAAAGATGGTCTCGGCAAGGATGCGAGAAAAGATGGAATAGTCCTTGCGGACACCTTTGTTTACTCCGTGGTTGAACAATGTGCTGATTGAGGGCGCGAATGCCAAAATTGGGTAGCCTTTCTTGAACAAAAGAATGTTCATAATAAGTCGGCCGACACGCCCGTTAATGAATACGGGAAAGGTAGTCAATTATGTGCTCATCCTCATTCTGAACAAGGTCTTTCGAGCACCACCTCTTCATGAGCGGAGGAACGTCTGCAAAGTTCGGGCGATGGGAGTCCTCCCCCATTATGTTGATGGAAACCTTACGATATTCCCCAGGCAGCCCTTCCTCGACATTCTTCAAAAGTCCATCCATCACCGCGGAGTGTATCTGAGGCACCAGTGTTTCCGACATTTCGTTCTTGGCCATTTCTTGGAGCCGCTTGGTGACCAAAATATGGTTGATCGCTTCCGTGATATCATGCTTTGATCCGGGCACCCTCTTGTGAATGTTTTCCAACTCATCCACTTCTGGCTGTCGTTTTGCGTCTTTTCCACCAAGGAGAGTGGTAATCATTTGGATGTCGTCGATGCTGAGGTTGCTGCCTTCGTGATTCAGCGAAAAGTGGTTGAAAACAAGCGCCAATTCCGAATGAACTTTCGTGACTTTGTCTTCCGAAAGCGGTCGCTCGCGATTCAGAGCTTCTCGAGCCGCATCTAGAACATCGTAGAGCTCTTGGAGAGACAAACCGTTCGTGCGGCCCACACAGGCGTATTCACCGGGTTCGAGAGGATGCAGAACGCCGTTGGTTCTGTCGATGATGCCAGCAAAGTCACGATAGATAGACTGGCTTTGAGCAAATTGAATATCCTCCCAGAATGATTTCACATCCTGGGAACTGACGCGGAGATTGCCCTTCCCAGGGTGGGAAGCAATCTCGCAGTGGAAAGGATAATTTGCTTCCACCTCGCGCTGTTGGTTCGTAATCTCCGCCCAAGATCGTGCCCGTCTGGTCGAACTCCGCAGTGGGCACTGGATTGTCAAGTGCCCCTCTCCGCATTCTCGGCTAGTGATTGGCATAATTTTGGCTTGCTACCTTTTGTTTTTGTTACCCTGTAGTCTACCTGGATGTTGCCTGTTTTATGCGTGTGATTGAACGAACAGGGAAGCCGCTGGCGGTCACTTCCTAGCGTTCGCTGATCTACGTAGCCTAACGGGTAAAATTTCGCAGTGCACGTTTGAAGCGAGCGCGCCAGATCGGGGGTGACCCGTCTTCACTTCCCCCCCCCCCAATACATTTTTTCCTGTGTTGACGACATTTAGTTGGCAAAGCGGCCTTCACACCCGGTGATCTGCAATTGGCACCAGGAAGGTTCCAGAACCAACCATTCACCCAAACCTGGCTCGGAACGATCCAGATGCATTTCGAAGAACACCGTCTCTTCTGGGCAACCCCATCATCAGCACAACACAAGAAAGAAAGAAGATAATTGAGAGACCATGGCAGCAGCAGCAACAGCAGCGCCGCAACTCACGTCCACCACAGCCCCTGGCAAAGTGTTTGCTTCTCGCACGGAGCTGGCAGATCACTACAAGTCTGATTGGCACAAGTACAATTTGAAGCGCCGAGAGGCTGGGTTGCCACTTTTGCTGGAAGCAGATTTCCAAGCTCGTTTGGCGGCAGCCTTGTCATTGCGACAGGAAGATGTGCGAGATGGAACAAACCATTTGAAAAAGGGAAAGAAGCAGAAACCCAAAAACAAAAAGAAGAACCAAACATCAGGAGAAGCTGTAGTTGTCAAGTCGCAAGCTGCTGCCTACGACAAGATCAAGGAAGATGACACGACTAAGGACGAGGAAGAAAAATTCGACAACAAAGATCAAGTCATGAAAGAGGCAACAACAGAAGCAAAGGAGGAAGAAGAAGAGGAAGAAGACGAAGCCGTCATGATTGACCCCAAGCAATGTTTGTTTGATCGCCATCTCTCTGCTACCGTGGAAGCAAATGCAGACCGAATGTACCGAAAATATGGCTTGTTCATTCCTGACCGAGAATATCTGACTGATTTGGAAGGATTGATTGGGTATTGCCATGAAAAGATCAAATTGGGACACATGTGGTAGGTTCGCTGCAGAAAGAGGAATTTATTCGGCGGTGAGCGAGTGTGCTGAAAATATTGTGACATCAATGCTAACAAGTGTTCTTTTTGTCTTGTTCCTTTGCAGCTTGTATTGCCATAAAGTATTCCCAACGTGGCAGGGATGTCAGAAGCACATGATCAGCAAAAGTCACACCAAACTCAAGTATGAAGCTGGTATCGATTTGGAAGATTTGGGTGTGTTCTATGATTTCAGTACAGCCGACAATGAATTCCTGCGGTCGATTGGAGGACAACCAAAACTCAACAACAAGGATGGTGATGACACTAATGATGTTGAAATTGTGGAAGATGATGGAAATGATGACGATTGGGAAGATATTTCCGAAGACGACAATGACATGGATGCAGAAGATGAAGTCGACGAGGAAGACGACTATGATGAAGAGTACGAAGAACAATTGGCTCAGTTTGGCTTTGATGTCACTGACTTGGGAGAATTGGTACTGCCCAATGGTCGCATCGTTGGCCATAGAGCCTTATCGCGATACTATCGTCAACGTGTACAAACTCGCAACAACAGCACTGCTGTCGTCGCAGCCCGCCGTGCAGCAGGCGAACGAATCTGGAACGGACAAGTTGTCAATCTACACGGTGCAGAGGAAAACACTTTGGCTTTGACCAAAGCTGGCATCAGTCCTGCGGTTGCTGCTGGACGTGCCGGAAAGGGTATCTTGGTGGAGGGATCTGGAGGCGTGTACACCTCACTCTCGATTTATCGCTTCCGAGCATCCATGAGGAAGCAGCGACGAGAAGACAAACAAGGCAAACGACAATGGGAAAGAACCAACAGAAACATGAACAGAATGGATAAAAAAGCGAATCGCTTGATGAATGGTGTGTCTGTTGCGCATGCAGCCAGATAAAAGTCTAAACTTTGTGGTTTATCTAGCCGATCTTTTTTGTGGCTTCAAAGTTGCCCATAGTAGCAAAAAGCTGGAAGACATCAAATGTGTAAAGAGAAGGTAGGTGGAAACACAACCACAGTCATGATCATGGCTGAAACTGCAAGGTCCAATGCTTGAATCCCCGACCACGGATGCAGTCGATGCCGTGACAGTTTCCGCACATGTACTTGCCAAGGAGAACAAGCCATTGTTCAAGGGTCCGTACACCAAGGAGGAAATCAAAGCCTTTGACCCTCCTCTTCAGTACTACTGAGTTTTTCACGTCTAGTTGATCGATCAGATTGAACCAGTGGCTGTAGCCAGCTAGATAACAAGGGGCAACAACCCATGGATAAGAAGCACAACCGGCTAATGAGCGGAGTGTCTGTTGTGCATGCAGCCAGATAAAAGTCTAAACTTTGTGGTTTATCTAGCCGATCTTTTTTGTAGCTTCAAAGTTGCCAATAGTAGCAAAACGCTGGAAGATGCCAAATAAATGTGTAAAGAGAAGGTAGGTGGAAACACAACCACAGTCATGATCATGGCTGAAACTGCAAGGTCCAATGTTTGAATCCCCGACCACGGATGTAGTCGATTCCATGACAGCTCCCGCACATGTACTTGGTAGCTGGCTGCTACATGCACATGGGTAGGAGTAGTTGTCAGTCACTGTCACTATGCATACTAGTAGCTAGGAGTAGCCACTTGCTTGATGGAGTGTTCAAAGATTCGATTCTCATCGTGGATGTGATACTGGGGGGGGTCCTACTGATTAACCGCGGGAGTTCAGCTTTACCCCGATGTTAAGATATCACTGTTTCGTTGAAGCCAATGCCGAACATATTTTTCACACCTTTCGCCGTCCTTGGTCTCATTAACTTGGATTTGACTTGAATTTGCAATGACGCCCCAACCAGCCACATCGTCCTGGGATGACAAAAACTTTGAAGCCCTGGATGCGTATTTCCGTGTCTTTGGTGACCCCAATGTGAAAGCGTCGGAGAACCAGCATCTCTCTGCGTGGATTCAACAACAGAGAGATGCCTTTCAACGTGGAGTTCTGCCGCAGGAGATGGCGGAAAAGCTCCAATCTATTGGACTGAACCTTCAAACAGAGCCAAAAGATGATGCGATGGCTGCTGTGGTTAGTACGGATGAAGAAGAGAACCCAAAGGACGCAAGCTTGACGGAAACAACAACAATGACGAGTCCATTCTTGAGAGCCGTTGCCGCTGCGAGAGCTGTTGCCGAGGGCACAGCACTGCCGAGCGAAGAACTCACCGTGAAACCACCAAAGAAACTGAAGTCATATCACCAACGTCCCAATGGAACCAAACAAAGCAAACAAAGCAAACATCACTATTCTCTTCCTAAAGAAGAGGCGACGAAAGAGTCTTCCAAGAAGCGATCCATTCAATCATTAGACGACAATGACCCGGCTGCATCAAGTGACGATGACCAGCCGAAGAAATCACGCGACAGGTTGACGCCGAGGAAGAAGAAGAAGAAAAAGACTGCGGAAACTTCCACGGAGGTTGGAGTTGACGTCATTGACAGCAGCAACAAAAAGGGGGGAACGGCTAGACGATCTCCAAGAAAGAGGAACAAAGAAAGCAGCAACCCACCAGCCGCTGCTCCAAAGGATGCTACCAAGAAAGAAAAATCCCCAATCCTTGCTAAAGGATCTCTAGTTTTGATGCCCGGTGCTGATGGTTTGTTTGATACAGAAGCAACCGTCATTGCTGCGACCAGGCTTGGAACAAAAGTGGAACACGTGGAATCCCAACGGCAAGAACTGCTCACAGACGCCGAAGCAGTTGTATGCAAACTCGCACATGCTATCAAGCATCAATGGTTGGGAAACTTGCCAAAACCGATTCCTGGAACAGAAATCCGCAAACTCGATGATTACGGGGAAAGGGGCCAGGAACCGAAAGAAGGCATTGTGGTGGATGTTCGGAAGGCGGAAACACGTTGTGTCTTTACAAATGGTGACGAGGAATGGATATCGCACAATGACGTGACCATTTGCGCTGTAGCTCAATTCATGTTCCATGCCACAGATTACTGTTTGGAACTGGTCAAGTCTCTAGGAGAGGAGGGGAACCCAATCAAAGACACCAGCGACATACTGGCCCTGATACAACATACGCGGCCAAGAGAGACGAAAGGAGTCGGTACACAGATCCGGCGACACTTTGCTCTGACCGACCCCTCTGGTCGAACCGTCGTAGGCTCAGGTTGGTACAACGGGAAAGTAGTTGAGGTGTCACGTTACTCTGTGAAGGCTCGTTTCGAACCCAGCAACTTTTATCCCATGGGGTATGAGACGGTGCTTGGACATGAGGAAGTTTACGCCTGTGCCATGGCATATGAAATGCACAAAAAGCCTCGAGGGACCTGGCCTGTGCCCAGCGTTGGGACACGGATTCGAGTGAAATGCTCATCAGGATGGTACAATGGCTGCATCAAAGAGAAGAAGGCGAAGGCCAAATCCGGAACGTCCGTGTTCAAGGTTGAGTTTGACGACAAAACGATCAAACGGAAAATGTCAGAGGAAGAAGTGATCGTCTACGCAAACGTCTACAAGAACTACCGTCACAGCATTCTGGGGGACGACGCCTCTCAAGATGACGAAAACGACGGAGCATTCAATAAAGACGCTCCATCGGAACACGCACCGAGCACCTCCAAGTCGGCCACGTTGCACAACTCCGCAACGAACAAAGGTTCGTCTTTCGACGACGAGAAGGCCATGATCAACCAAGTCATCAAGATGGTCAAGCCAGCAGGTAAGTGAAGCAACGATGCTGCGTGATACCGGTACGCCCAACACGATGCCATCACTGTGGCAGCATGTCTCACTCATAGATTGCGTGCACGCACCATCCAGTTGGATTAAAGATCCGAAAGCTCTTCGAGGAAGAGAACGGACAGCATCGCTGGTATGAAGGAGAGATAATTGAAGAGGTTGATACTCGGAACTCGCGAGCCAGAATCCGTTTCACCGATAACCAAGAACAAACACTGAGTAAGTTCTTGAAAGCCTGAGTCGAGTCAGCCCCAGCATGCACGATGACGCAATCTTATTCTTTTCTTTGTCTAGCCTTCGGTGAAGTAAGAGTTGGCCACATTGCTTATCAATACAATCTTTCAGGCCTCCCTGCCCCACGTGCGAAGCGAGGAACCAAAATCAGCAAACGTTTCGATCAAGGGTAAGTGCTGTTCGAGCCTAAAGTTCCATTGTTAAGCTTTTATTCCACAAATCGACCAACGCAACCTTATCGTTTTCGAAAACACAGCTGGTGGGATGGAACCGTAGTGGCGGTTGGTACCATGGGGCCATCCTACGTTCTATTTGACGCGGACGACAGTGAGTGCTACATGTCGGATGAAGAAATTCGAGTAATGGCGGTTGCCTACGAGATTCGTAGAAGGATCAAGTGAGGGTGACTCAGGAGGCACGACAAGGTTGGAAGAGGGGAAAGCAAGAAGGAGTTGGACATATTCGTTGAGCGACAGAAAAAAGATCGGAAGAATGACAACGAACGAAGAGGTGGAGCTGTTTCGTGTGGGTTGAAGAGAGAAAGATCGGAAGAATGGCAGCAAGAAGAAGGAGGTGGACAGATAACTAGGGAGGTGCAGATCCTTCATGCAGAATGATCAATCGTAAATGGGTTCCAGGAAAGTCGCCGACTACAGAAAATCTATCAATATTCATTTAGAGTTACATGGTTTTGAGCCTTTTACCCACCACCGTTTACGATCCTCCTGAGATCATATATGTGTAGTGGTTTCATTGCCACTTTCGTTGCCTTCGCCCTCGTCATCAGATCCAGACGTGGAGCTCCCTGCTTGGCTGTCGTTGCTTTGCACGGGAGACCAACCGACCCTCATCATCCTTCTGGCTCGCTCTTTGCACCATGAAAGAGACGCACCAACTCTGCTGGACCTCTTTGGGGATGATTTCTCATCAAGATCCATGATGAACTGCAAAACATCAAACTTACAGAGCGGGCAGCTTGCGTGTCGCTCTGTCATCCAAGGTACGATGCAGTTCGAATGAAATTTGTGCCCACAAGGTAGACAAAGCAGATTGGCGGCTTCTTCGCCGTCAGCAGGACTCGGCATCAAGTCATCCAAGCACACGGCACAGGTATGTTCTTCTTCCGGATCCAGAGGAGGCGCAGGAACGACCGTCACAGCGTCCTCCTCCGAATTGACGATTGTTGTGTTTATCCCCTCATCCTGCAAACTAGCAGAGCCGGATTCTGCGGAGAGTTGCGTTTCTACTTCATGTTTGGAAGTAGTGGATGCAGCAACTTTGTCGTGTAAGTCCCCGCCCACCTGCAATCTCTCTACCTCCTCTCTCGAGAGCAGGCGTCTCGAACGCCGAATGGCTTCTTGCGTCAAGATGATTTGACCCGATCCGTTCACCGGGATGACCCCTAGCTGCACAAACACCAAAATACAGCCAAACACGACAATGAAGCAGAAGAATCCTGACATGGCAATCAGAATCCAAGTTTGCAAGTCCTGCAATGACGGCTCATGGAGCATGAGTGGATCCAACCCGTTGAGTTTCACCATGGGGCCACCCGCCCGTGTCACCGCGTCTGTCTGATTATCTATTACAGACCTCAGAGCTGGATTGAAAGTTCAAGCCGGTGAGCATGAGATGGATGTAAGCGACAACACATGGAAACAGTCGACAGGCAGTTCCAACAGACTAGCAGATTCGAATCACGTACCCATCCCAGCGCGATAGGACACAAAGAGCATCCCCAACGTAATGTTGTCGGCAGAAGAGGACTCCCTCATCGAGACCAAATTGTTCGATTGGACATTATCGTACACCACCATGTAGCGGACGGCTGGAAATGCCTTCATGGCCATATTAGCTTTATCTTGAAAGCTGCAGTCTCCTCTTTCCACCAGTAGGGCAACTACGAGAAAGAAAAAGGCAAGAGATTCGATTAGTCAGCTGAGAGCGAGCAAAGTGATTTCCACCACTCTCAGGAGCAACTAACTGATTGACGTACCAGGAGAATTATCCGGTGGAATTACAAGCCCTGGAAGCGCCAATTCCGTCTCATTTGCCATGCCATGGCACAGTCTACTGCCATTCCCATGCAAGAATTGAAGCCGTGCTGGAAAGTTCCTGCCAGGTGGAAACCATGTTCTTCCAAAATGAGAGGGCATGCTTTCAAAGGTATAACCACCGTACATCACTGTGGCTGACACTAGTGTAACATTCATCATCGTAATGATCCCGAGAACGAGCCAGAGGCAGTATGCAAAGTTGGTTGTCGTCATGGTGAGATTGTTGGGCTGGGTTGATTGATTGATTGATGTCTTAAAAATTTCCGTGATGTACGCGCGGAAGAATTAATTCAATTCAATTCCACGTCTACAGGAGGATCAGCAAACGGCTAGCTGGGGGAACTACAATCCACTACAGAGACTTTGTGTTCCTTGGCTGTTTCCTTGCTGCAGTAAGCAAGTGTTGATTGATCCACAGAGTATGTGAGTGGCAAGTCGTTTCTATAGTGGTTAATGGAGAATGGAAATGAAGGAATAAGATGAGGTTCTTGCCAGTGCTTGCGATCGTGCAGTCATCCATCGCGAAGCCGCCAGGGGCTTTCTCCTCTCCCCGGAATCGACGCAAGCCCGTAGGTCCCGGTTCCGAGACAAGATGATTTCGGCGACGGGAACCGATGTCACGCCTAAATTACACTGTTCCATTGACACAAACAATCGGTATGGTACGAGTACAGTCGTTCACAGTTACTTGTATGCAGTCCAAACTAAAGCCAATGCGGAGCTCGTGCAAGAAACCTGCAGTGGCTCTACATCGGGGTCCTCCCAAGATGACGCCTTTTCCGCTGCACTTGTTGCTCTGTTGCTTGTCGACTCCTTGCTTCCTCCATAGATAAGTTGTGTAGTTGACCTAGCTAGCTAGAGCGAGCAGAAACGCACATTCTCCCCGGATCATTCTTCTTGCCTGCATGCCTTGCTTAGGATGAATTCTTTGCACAACCGGCAGCATTACAAACTCCTAGAAATGCACCCTTGGAACCATTGGCTGTTTTTTGATGCATTCCAGGGTTCCTCCTGCTTGGCTCCTCATGGAAGTAGATCGGGGCCTAGCTAATCCACCGTAGCTACTAGCTACCGGTAGCTACCCGTAGACCATAGATTATTGGTATCTAGGCATGCCTTATTACACTCTACTGTAGCTAGGTTGCCAAGCTGTGATTGGAGCCTCCGTCAGGATCTTTGTTGGGTCGCGCACCAAGGATAAGAAAGCCGTCGGAATGTGAAAAACCAGACAGCCTAAGCTGGCTCATGCTTCCCTCACACGAACCGTATTGCATCGTCCGCCAAAAAACATGGACGATGCGGTTCCTGATGAAGGAATTCATGTATCCTTGTTGAGAGTAACCGAGGCATAATAGTAGGCTGCCATTACACGTTGACATTGCTGCACTGCTATCTATTCTCTCATTTATGTCAGGTGACTTCGTTCTACAACTGGTAACATGTCGGCCTCCCAGAGCAATGACAACAACAATTCTACCGGTACCACCAATGACACTTCTGCTACCGGTAGTAGAATGAACGGCAGTACAGGGCCCAGTTCATCATTTTCGCGTCTTCTCGACACGAACACCTCCACAAACAGGGGACTGAGGCGTCGTGGTTCACTCTTTGATGATCTTTCTTTGCGACAAAACAACGGCAATGACGAGGCGTCCTCTTTTTCGCTGTCTTCTATGCCACAGAACTCGTCTTCCGCTGGTCCCTGGCAGAAACGGAGGCGAAAGAGTCTAGAATCCAAGAAGCGTCGTAGGGAATCTGCCTACATGGATGACGAGGAAGAATCAACAACGCTGTCATCGTCGCGGTCGCTATTCACTGCATCCGCAATGAATGCTGCTGCCAACACACAAGATGAAATAATGACCAACCATTCGGCTGCTACTATTCCTGCTGAAGACATTTGCAATACTACATGTACAACTGTAAACCAATCTTCCACTCCCAAAGCATCTGGCCGGACGTCACTTTTCGGGTCAGTAATGCAACAAGTGGGTGGTCACATGAACAGTTCCACACCAGTGAAAAGCACAACTACAAATAATGCAATGGCCACCACTACTCCTCTTGCTCGAAAGGGATCTTTGTTTTCTCCTTCCAATAGATCCAAAGAATCCTTTGGTACTCCGGGAGGATTCCAATTGCTGGATTTTGTCAACAATTTTGGAAGTCCCTTTAGCAACAACAACAACCCATCGCCTGAGAAGAGCAAGAGTCCATCCTCTCACAGCAGCAACCATATTGACTGGCACAATGCGTCATTGGACCATGGAGTCATGGATTGGTCGCTTCCAGATTCAATACGCTTCGACTTTCATCCGGGGTATATTGTGAATCCAATACTCCAAACCAACGTTGGGTCTGGCCCCGGTCTGTTGAAATTCCTGCAACCACTAACAAGCGTTACCAATGACGGTCTTGCACAGTGGGAAGCAGGGTTGCTGTATTGGCAGCATCCTGCCATCTATCCATCACCATTTGCCTCCGACGAGTCAGCATTGAAATCCAAAATGATGTCAGACGCAAACAAAAAGAAAGAAGGTGCAACAACCGCGGAAGGTGACAAGATACTACGGCAAAAGCAATTGTCCAAACACGGCAAAAAGAAAAGAAGGGCAACCCTGGATCTAGCAGACACCAAACCTATTGCGGAGACGAGCAACTTTGCCGTCCCGGTCCAGACCAAGTCCTCACTGTCCACGTTACAGCGCCAGAAAGCACTCTTTACTCGACAACGAAGACTGGATTGGCAGCAATCGTTTGTGTCTTTGTATTGGAAATGGATTTCTCAACTGCGGAAGGTTGAAGAAGACCGCGTCGACTATTCCTATTTCTATTCTCGTGGCACGGACCATTCAGTTCTGTTTCGGGGAGTGTACAAATCTGGACAAGTCTTGCCAGAAATCGTTTTCACGTCATCGTCTCGGATGTTTCGGAGATGGTTGCATCAATCTGGAGTCGAAGCGATTCGACTTGCGGAAGAATGGAGAGGGCACTGTCGGGGAACAGTGTTCACCGAGGCAATCATTCGGCAACAAAAACCGCCTTTGAAGGAAAAGGCACATGCGGGTACTAGCAAAACCAAGTCACACGACTCTCAAGGCATACTCCCAGACAAGATACTGAAAGAGAACAACCCTCAATCAACTGATACACCCAGCAACTCAAACTGCGGTAACGGCTCGAAATCGAACCTTCCGGCGCCCACACCGTCAAAAACTACGTCCCCATCGGATTCGTCAACCAGCCCGTGTGTCAAAGCAGAGCTAGCAGCTCTTCGACGGGCTCAAGTATTTGGTGAAACCGTAGGAGCAGATGTGTCAGTTTCTATCAAACCGAAAGCTATTGCTGGGCCAAAGGTGTCACTGGGGTCTCTGCCCCCTCTTGTTGTGACTGGCTGGGACGATTGTGCCGCCTTTTTTGAAGTCTACCTGAATCTGGGAACAACGTGTTGCATTTCATCTCTGAGAGATGCGGGTGGTGGCAAAGCCGACGGGGCTGTAGATGATGCAAAAGGATCATCATCATCAACAACAGCAAAGGCAGACAACGAGCCCTCGCAGAATATGGAATCGATCCAACGACTGGACTGGCAAGGACAACATGATGTACCAGTGTTGATTTGCCGGGGTCTTGGTCCCTTTGCCAACGCGACAATGAAATCTCTCACCGCCAGCGGCGCACCCCATTTTGGGCAGAACCAAGAAGGTGAGGGCGACCAAAACACTCACGAATATGCATCTTTGGAGATTCAGGGTGGTCCAATTTTGCCGTGTGCCATCATGGAGCTCTTGCAAGGTTTGGCTCAGATAATGCTAACTGATCACAAGCGGAACCCACCCAAGGACGCCGAGATGAGCCACGATGGAGATGCCCTGGTAAGTTCGCATAGTCTGATTCTCCGTGCAGTTCCAGGCGCAGCGAAAAAACAGGCAGAAGAGTTCGCCCAAAAGCATGGTATTGTTGGGGGAGCCGGCTCCCAGAAACTGAACAATGGCCATCCCAAGGGTAACTTGGAAGGGGATGGAGACAAAAGGCCCAGTCAGATTCCAAGTGGGCTGATTCTAGGGACCTCGGTTTGGGATATCCTTCACCCCGGCGCCATTGCGTACAAACTAGAGCCTGTGGATACAAGTGCCAGCCAGCTGCTGTTGAACTAGCTAGCTATTAATAGAAATGCATGGGATGTTGCTACATATACAGTTTCTCCCCTCCGAGTCGGGCTCAGTGCACCTCTCTTCGACAGCCAATGACACGCATAGAAAAGGGCCGAAACTCAGTCTAAGTTTGTCGTGGTGTTCTTCTAGTCTATCTGGCTTTATTGACTGAGAGGTCCTATTTTATGGCAGCACAGTCACTAACACGAACATCAGCAAGTCGTATCGACCAATCCGATCCCGATCTTTGCATCAGTCACCTCCACCAATCAAAACTTTCCTTGTTTTTGGGTTTGTGTTCTCCAAGTTCATTCCTTGTCCCTTTGTGACAGGTGCAACACCGTATTCCGCGCAAAAGGCACCGTACGTGGCAACGCCGAGAGGAAGCAATCCACGTGCGCGCATTGGATGCATGCCTTGTTCGAATGCCTTCTGACCTCGTTATCTCGTTGTCCTTCTCGCTGTTGCTGTTGCTGTTGTTGATGTTTCGCAAGGGCCAAAGACAGCTCAAGGAAGTGATGGATCATAGTTTTGCGTGTGCAAAGGAAAAGTCCATCACCATGATCATCGAGGAGGCGGAAAAGAAATCTGATCCAGAGGTTTTGCCTCCAGCGGCAGCAACGAGCGCCAACAATGGTCATGGTCAAAATCAATTTTCTCCCGGAACGCAGGCGTCTGTAGGTCTACCGACGTCCACGCAATTTTTCAGTGCCGGTCCTCCTGTGAACCCGACTAACCAAGCGACACTTGCACAGTTTCCCAATCCCAACGGCGCCAATGCCGAACTCTTAGCTGCAGCTACAGCTCTCCTTGCCAATAACCCTCTTCTCGCAGCTCAACTCCAACAGCAACAACAGCAGCAACAGTTGTTGCTTCAACAGCAGGCGGCTGCGGCGCTGTTGCAAGCAACGACCCACAATCTCATCCCACAGCATCTGCAAGCCGGTGCTTTGGCGGCGTCCTTGAATGGCACACCTGGGTATCAACCAGCCTTGATTCCACCCCCAGCCCTTGCAAGCCTTGCTCATCAGATTCCTCTGTCATTGCCTCAACAGCAGCAGCTTCAGCAAGCACTGTCTCCAGCGGGCTTCTCATTGCCAACCATGACTGTCCAAGATGTCCCATGCTCTACTCCCGTTTACAATGGCGTGAATCCAAAGTATCCAGGCCTTCGAGTGTTGAATGCCAACCCTCCCGTCTTTGCCGTGGACAACTTTTTGACTCCTCTGGAATGTCAGTTCCTAGTCGCTGTGGCAGCCGACTCCTTTGGGCCTGCTCCTGTGGTCGGCAAGGGAGCGGGCGAAGTGTCGCCCAGTCGTACCAGCTCCACTTGCTATCTCTCCCGCGAGGACCTTCCAGACTTGATGCGCAAGGTCTCGGTGTTGACAGGAAAACCCATTGAACATTGCGAGCTTCCTCAAGTGGGTCGCTATTTGCCGTCTCAACAGTATTTGCAACATTTTGATGCCTTTGACACTAGCAATGAAGATGGACGGCGATTCGCAGCCAATGGCGGTCAACGTACAATCACTGTGCTCATATACCTCAATGATGTTCTTCGTGGCGGTGCTACTCGTTTTCCCGCCTTGAACTTGGATGTCCAGCCACGCCAAGGAATGGCTCTCATCTTTTTTCCCGCCACGATTGATGGATACCTGGACAAAATGGCGCTTCATGCTGCCATGCCGGCTGTCGACACCAAGTACGTGTCTCAGGTTTGGATTCGCCAACACCAATACAACGGCCAGCCTAGCAAGCGTTTGGCGCAGATCATGGGGCGACCTTTGGGAGCCTATGAAAGTATGCGACCAGTCAAGGCTCACGAGGCCGAAGGTATCGTACCGGCCAGTGCCTTTTAGGCATTTTCCATCGCAACGTAACAGCAATCCGTGTGATGCTGTCAATGCCCCAAACAATACAAAAGAGATAGAAGTGATGGATTGGTCTGGACCCAATCCTCGCTGCTCTCGTCAAAGCAAACTACGAAACAAAGCACTATTTATTTTGCTCCAACAGAGAGAGCGTATTTGATGATGCAAGAGATGTTTTCCAAGTGCTGGATCCTTTCTTTTGCCGCCTATTGCTCTGGAACGATGAAGTGGATAACTTTTAGCTAAACGGTCCAACCGTACAGTATGAAGTAGAGACGAAAACAGTATTTGGCAACAAGTGCCGCAATCATCGGCGACTCGACTCACACTGATGCCCATTGTGTCACTGATACTCATGCGCAAATTGCTGGAACAGTAGTGGCAGATCGACTGCCACAGGATCTGTTGGATGTGTCTCTACTAAACTCAAACTACTGTACTATATCGTACTGCGACCAAAGCGTTTTAAATAATCTTAACTCCAATGCCCAACCTGGCATACCGGTAGAACGGTTCCCAAACCGTGAAGTGAGCCGAGAGGAACAGTGTCAGCCTACATCTTTTCCAAAGCCGCCAGGATATCTTCACTCTCCTTGACATAATCCATCGGCTTCAATGCATATACCGTCGTCTTGACACGTTCTTCATCGTTCACGAGCTCTGCCTTAATGATGTATCCTACAGTCCGGCGCGCATCGGCAAACAACAAGAAAATCGAGCAAAATCGCCTATCAAGATGGTGCTTCTTGCACCTCTTCTGGGTCTTTTCGGCGATAGCAACCATAAACAAACTTGTTGGGAAAATAGTAAAGAAGGTGAAGAGACTTAACCTGCCAGTCAGATGTGCTCAGGAAGGCTTAAACAGTCGTATCTCTGATTCTTTTCCACCCTGTTATCTCTAAGCCTCTGGTGCTCCAAAGGTTGCAGGATAAGCGGCGATGCCGCCGATAGACTTAAAGAAAGGGCTCACAGCAAAGTCAAGCTGTCGAAAGGGAGTTAACAGTGTCAACAAAGAGGTCATGCAGCGCCATTTTCACTCGATTTATCGTGTTGTTTGTCGATGCGCGCCGGACGGTAGGATACATCGTTAACCTTGCATTTAAAGATCCACTCCGTCTGTGTTGCCTTGTAGAAGAGGCTATCGTAGCCATCCTGATCTTGGTTTGCTCCATGAAATTTTTATAGGCATCGTCTGCGTGCGCGCATTCCAAAGAGTTTCTGCCTGTGGATTGAAAAAGGAAACCCAGGTGGTAGCAGTATCGTCCTCCACTGTGCCCGAGAAGATCCAACGCCGAACAGGATCAGGAAAAGTGCCTTGGCACTTGTCGCAGAACCAGGACCTGGAAATAATGTAAAAGAAACGAACAGAGCAAGTATATGAGCAAAGGGCGAATCACATTTGCACACCAATTGCAATACACGGCTCTTAGCCTTATTCGCGACTCGATCCTAGATAGGGTTTGAGTTCAACTCATGACTGAGTCTCTCGTGAATAGTCATTGAGACAGGGTTCTCAATGACCGCTCTAGTCATACTAGGTCAGTGATGAAACGTGTTGAGCAGCAACACGCCTGGGGAACCCCCCGTCCTAGTTTCCACGCCCTGCAGCGTGGAAACTTGAACCCTGATGGGTTCTCGCAACTATGACCCTAATCATGGTTGCCGAGAGGACCATCTCACAAATTGCAAAATTAATTCCCGCGCTCCTCACCTACAACTCAAGTACATCTCTACATCTCGCAGGTCATCACCTGTGTTCCGGAAATGGATACCCCACATGATGATGCACCGCATCAGCTCCTCAATGCCTCTCGAACAAGATTACCCTTTAAGGCAACGACGCCCGTCCAAGACCACATTTGGCAAGATCGACAGCGGTAACCATGAATCACTAAGGCCAGCGACCTAGCCAAGATCAGCCATTGAACTGCCGATTGCAAGAAGGTTGTCTCTCTCTCAGCTCACAATTCTTCATTCAGCCGACGCTGAAGGCAAGAACCTAGATTAGATTAATCTCTTGCGCCGGCATCAGGTTTCGTATCTTTTCGACCCTCACCATGGCCAGCTCTAATTTTTCGGATCTCGTCTCTCGTGCAGCGGCATGGGAGGTAAATGCTCCAAACTACACTGATATCCTCACTTCTGCACTTCTGTGGGCGGCGCCTCGAATGCAAATCGTGATGTTGCCTCTCGCGCTATGAGCCAATTTTGTCTTCGCTCACCTGTCACCTTTGGCTTCGTCCTCCAAAATGACGAAACAAATATCTACATTGGACATTCACTCTACGCCTACCCCGTGAATCCTAGCAAGGTCTCTCCTTACGACAATCTCTACGCTATCGTGGTGGGGAATGACCTTCGAAGCGCTATCACGGTGGTCCTTCCCATGTCAGCGTTCGAGCGCACGGCTGACGTAACCTGCCACAACATGACAATTATTGACGGAGGAACGATGTTTGCCGCCGCGCCGGCTCCTGTGCTACACAGTGGCCCCCATGGCGGTGGTGTCGCGGACTCTGATGTCTTCCGGGTCCGTCGTGTGATGCCTCTTCCGTCCAATCTCTCTGAAGCCGTCCTTGTAGCCCGTCCCGAAGGACAGTACAGTCTTCCCCAGTTCCGTGCGGAAGTCCTTACCCCCGAGATGACTCACGCGGATCCGGCGCGACAGGCTGCCATCGCCCCTTTGGTCCAATGGTTCCGCGCCTGTTGCACGTTGGTCGCTGGAGGTCACACGTCCACTAGTAATGCTGCTGCTAACGTGGCCGCGCCCATCAGCGCAAACGCGCTCCAATGAAGCACAAACCGGGTACTCTCCCCCTACATGGCGGCGCTTGGCGCGGTAGGTCCGGGCCTGACCAACGCAACCTTCAACGCGGGAATCACGAACCTACGTGATACACTGGAGGCCACTGTTGAACAACAACTCCAGTATGACCGTGAGAAGAGCAACAAAACCTTCACGGATAAATTCGGGGTCGCCCTAGCCACTCGCGTCCACAACCTCTGCAACGTGGCCGATGACGCAAACCTTCCCGTCATTCACCGTCTGCTCGCGAAGTCCCCCAAAGGGAATGAACACGGGATCTTGCAAGCTCAACTAGACGAACGCACTCAGGCTTCGGCACTACCCATCAACCTCGCGAACAAACCCTTGGTCACTGGACACATTCTGGATCGTGTCTTCCGCAAGTACTTCGTGAACGGTCAAGGGACCACCTTGGGCGAAGGCCTCTCCCCCTTCTCAGTGGTATGCCAAGGCCATTCGGAAGCGAAGGCGGTCCAGGACTTGGCTGCTCGAGCGGAGTACGTTGAGAAGGGAGCCTCGGTCACCTTGGAAGATGCCATTGCCATCACTTCCACCGATGTCAAGTTTCCCA